GAACTCTATTCTCCTCTGTCAGGAGAAGTAACTGAAATTAATGAAGCACTTGCAGAACATCCAGGGCTTGTCAACAAATCTTGTTATGAAGAGGGTAAGTTGGCACTCACATTGTCCTTATTATAACTCACGGATATTTGCTAACTGCAATTTTCTCCAGTTCATGAATTCAGGCCCCAAAGGATTTTTAACTATCAGGGTAAGAAAGCCAATAAATGGCAAAATTAAGATTAGGTTGTGGTTTTCTTTTGCCTGCTACCTCAGCCTTCTAACTGTAATTAGTGTTTACATTGTTGGTGTGTATTTTATTAAAGAAAGACACCCCTGGCATAATATATTTGAGTCCCTTAATTTAAAGATTTAAACATCTGTTGTTTATGTCTATTACAACAGAAGAGTTAACTTATTTTTTGGCTATAATACTTTTCAACTGTGATAAATATTATTAATTCAATTCTTAGGGCTTGGATCTGACTTTTTAAAAACAAAACTGGAATGTAAGATTTTTGTTTTGGTTGCAGGCTGGCTGATCAAGATGACAGTGAGTGACCCTTCAGAACTAGATGAGCTCATGAGTGAAGAAGCATATGAGAAATACGTGAAATCTATTGAGGAGTGAAGTGGCACCCAAAATAAACTAGTGTGAAGTGACTTTTTCCAGCAGTGTCTGCAAATAGTGGTGGACAGAAGACCAGAGATAACAACTTTTAGCAGTTCTATAATGATGGAAAAGAAAGAAACCACTCTCATCGCTGCTCCTGGTGGAAATACCCCTTAACTCCCTAGTGATTGCAGATAAACACAATGTGCATCTTTTTGATATAAACTTTAGGATTTTTAGACTAGGCTGTAGGTTCTGATATTCAGAATTCACGAAATTATCCATGGTAAAAACTAGTTATGTAATTCAAGGATAACACTGTTATCATAAACCTTACAAAATACCTAACTTGCTTACATTTCTCCCTGGATTTGGGTCAAAATACTCAAGGGTGTGTCACTTGGACAGTGTCAGATGAAGACTGACACTTTCTTAATTTTGTAACAGACTGCATTGGCTGGGGCTGTTTCTATACAGTCAAGCAGCAGCTTTGCAACACAATAAGAAAAATAAAATATTCAATTACTTTAATGTTCTTTGTTTTGATGGTAATATTTCATTTAGTGACTCTAGTATTTGTGAAGATGTTAAAATTACCTTAAGGAAAACTCTTGCAGTGCTAGAGATCGAATACAAGGCCTCAAGTACATTCTACCACTGAGCTACTTCCCTGGCCCTAGAAAGGTGATGGGCTGCTTTTGGCAGTGGTGGGGATTGAGCCCAAGGGCTTGAGTGTGCTTGGCAACTGTTCCGCCACTGAGCAACATCTCTAAGCCATGACAGTGAAGGGTTTAGGAACATTTTCCTTTTAGTCTCAAATCCAGTTTTTCTTAGGTGAAAATCTAATTGCCTGATAGCATTCAGCATTCTGTCATCTTTAATATAATAAAAAATAAATGGTTGGCCTTTTCATCATGGTAGAAGAGGAAAAACAAAGGTGAAAGTTCTGATCAGCACAGCACTGGGAATTTTTTTTTTTTATTTGGAGAGTCTTACCCCGTAGCCCAGGCCAGCCTAGAACTCACAACGATCCTCTTGGGTCAGCCGCCCAAGTGCTGCGATTGCAAATGTGCATAACCATGCCCTGAAACACCTGGAATTTTGAAGAATGTTAAACCACACTCAGGTTTCCACTGAAGGAATGGCAGTAGACACAGTGAAGTTTTTGAGTTTAGACAGAGAATTGGACAGTGATATTCTGTGCTGCCTAAGCACAGTTGCAGTGACAAGTGTGAAATATTTTCAGATGGCTGATGTCACTTACTTTAATGTTAGCCAAGTACATAGTGCTGATGGCAAGGTGGAAATGTGTGTGCAGTATTTAGAATACAGAACCAATTCCATTATCATTTCTTGTTTGGTTTTTTTTGAGACTTGCTATGTAGTTCAGGGTGGCCTTGAACTCACAATAGAGCCCAGTTAGCCTCAAATTCATTGTTATCTTCCTGCCTCAAGTCTGAATGCTGGGATTACAAGCACTCCACCTCTGGGAATTCCATTATTTCTATCATAGTACTAAAATTACAGGTTTTAGGTTTTTGTTTTATTTTTGCCTAATGCATACTAGGCAGGAGCTCTACTGCTGAACTGTACCCCTGGCTCCCCAAATAGAGCCTTTGAAAGCCCTTCCAAATTGACTAAATCAGTGACATTTCAGCTCCCAGTGTTGGGTTTTAATGAAACCACTAGAGGGCGCCAGACAAGGCACTCTAGTACTGTGTACTTCAGTTCCAGACTCAACTCCTAGGCATATCAGAAATTCTTTTTCCCAATTTCTGCAGGTTTTTTCTAGGGCTGTTTAAAAATATAGCCCGCCTTCAGTTTTCTAACACAATGCTTCAAAAACTTAATGAGACTAGGGATGTAGGTCACTGGCAGAGCATTTGCCTAGTGTGTGAGGCCTGAGTTTTGGTCCCAGTACTACAATCAGTTAAGTGTGCTTTTCCTACTGTTTAACAGTCACTATTTCAGATCTAACTGCACACTCGTCTTCCATCCTGAGGCCCTTACTTTACAAAGATTAGATTTTTCTTCCCTGTGATGGGTTTACCACTGACCACCTACTTGTGTCTTTTTTCTTTCTTTAGATTTTTTTTTCTCTTAGATTTCAGGGGTTGTTGTTTTTTGTTTTTTTGTCTCCCTATGTAGTCCAGCCTGGCCTTGAACTCACTGTGCAGCTCAGGCTGGCCTTGAATTCTGAGGTAATCCTGCCTCAGCCTCCTGAGTGCTGGAATTACAGGTGTGCCACCATGCCTGTCCTAAATAGATTAGAGCAGTTTTTTGGTTTATAGCAAAACTGACCAAAAAGTGCAATTCCTATATATTCTTTGTCTTTCTCACAGTTTTTGTTTCTCAGATTCTTCTAGGCATATTCGTATCTTCCTGTTTCTGAAACAACTCACTAACGTTGTAGTTTCTGATGTCTTAACTCAAATCTATTTTTTATAAACATCACTAAACACTTTTTTTCCAATTTTTCTTTCTTTTTTTTTTTTAAATTGACAATCACTTTTGTTCCTTAACATTTATTTTTTTTCGGTACCAGGGACCAAACTCCAGGACCTTCCCTTTGTGAGGCAGGCGTGGTGCCACTGAGCTAAATCCCTGTCCCTGTCCCTTAACATTTCTGCACAATTATGCTTTCAGATTTTTACTGCTAGAGTTCAGCAATGATTACAGCAGATTTCAAACTAGGGCATGCAGGCACAAATAGTATGAAGGAAAATGGTTTCCAGATCTTTCAACTTCCACATGTACCTAAAAGAATTTGTTTTCAGTCCAATTTAATACTCATTTATTAAATCTTCGTTAAGACTTCGTAACTTCCCAAAAAACTGAGAAAGTAGCTTTATTTTTTGGTTTTCTGAGACAGGGTCTGGCTATGTAGTTCAGGCTGTCCTTGAACTATGTAGCCAAGGCTGGCCTCAAACTTAGGACGATCCTCCTGCCTCAGCCTCCTGAGTGCTAGAATTACAGGTGTGCACCACCATGCCTGGCACTTTATTACTTTTGGTTAATGATTATGTGAATTTTGCTGTGAAAATGTTTTTAAAAGAGTTTGAGACCTTGGTATAGCAAAACCCCTTTCATTTGCATCTTCATATTTATGCTAAGATAGCTCAACTGACTTCTATGAGAAAACTAGCATTATCTTTGACCATAAATATGTTAGAATAAACTTCTGTGGAGGAAGAATAAAAACAATTACAAATTTAAGGAGAAAAACAATGAAAATTATCCATCTTTTGTCTAGGTTATTCATTTATTTATTTATTTATTTTTGGTACCGGGGATCGAACTCCGGACCTTGTGCTGGCGAGGCAGGCACCGGAACCACTGAGCTAAATCCCCGGCCCTATTCATATATTTAAAAATAAATGTTTGCCGCGCCTACCTCACAAACTTAAGGCCCTGAGTTCAATCCCCGGTACCAAAAAATAAAAATAAATGCTGATGGGTACCAAGTCGTCATTGGACCTAATTTCTTTCATTACTTTTTTTTTTTGGTACCGGAGATTGAACTCAGGACATTGCGCTTTCGAGGCAGGCGGTGGCACCACTGGAGGCACCACCCGGCCCCTCTTTCATTACTTTTAAGAGTGACATAACATCGTTAAATGCCAATATTTGATACTCTGGATATTACATATTTTGCTACCATTCATGATGAAAATTTAATTTTTAACTAAAAAGTGCGATTTGGTATGTAGTTTTTAATAATTCTTTTTAGAAGTATGCAGGTATACCATTACTTCCAGGTTATGAAGTACATTAGCATACCAATAGGCATGTTTTTAAGTACACAAAACTACAAAATTAAACTGGGCAACACCACAGGTGTGCGGGGGGAGCTTGCAATAATGCATTTTCAGGGAGTTGGTGACATTAACGACGCAGGCTACTTTTTTTCATTTATATAAGGATGCCGATGCTCTAGTTCGCGGGCCAGAAGGTCCACAATGCTAGTGGGTACTGCCCCAGTGGACTAAGCGGGCACTGCAGCGTTAAAGTACAAAATACTGTCTCAGGGAGTTGTGGGCCTGCAGCACCCCAGCGCATCGCTTCTCTCGAGAGCATGGGCTACTCCACTCCGGAGACCTGTGGCCAGGCAGAAGGGACTGGACAGCCCCCCAGCAGCAGCAGCCGACCAGTGTCTCCGAAGCCCTGCTCTACCAGCTGTTGATGCGTGGGTCTTTGGCGGGAACCCGCTTCCGGGGTCCTGGACGAGCGGCACTGCCAAAGCTTACCTGGCGCAGCAGGATGGGCGCCTGAGAGCACTAGCGCAACCTCCGCAGGCCCCGAAGAGCCTGCTGGGAGCGGGGACCTCCCGGGGCTTTGTTGCTCGAGGCTGGTTACGTCCCTTCCGTGGCGCCTCTCAGCAGAACCGCCCCCAACGCAGCTGTAACCCAGGGCAACGTCCCGCCGGCTGCAGTGCGTCGCCCTCGCCCGCTGGCCTGGACTGGTCGCTCCAGGGCCTTCCACCCCTGCTCCTGGAGCAACGCCGCAGATCACTCCGCGTGCGGCAGAGAGAGGGAGGCCTTATCCTATTCTAAAGGAAGCGACTATCAGAGGCGAGGAAGCCAAAAGGGGAGATAGCGAAGCCCTAGGCTGGACCAGCAGGGGCCAGAGTCGTGAGGAGAACGGCTGGGTGGGGAAGTGGAAGGAGGCACGTGGAGGGCGGGGCCCTGTGGACGTGGCCAAGAGAGGAAGGGGAGGTGTCTTTGTGGCGCGGTAGGGGCGGCTGAAGGGGAGGGGCTAGATGAATGGAGTCTGGAGAAGGGGAGGAGCTCGGTGGGGAAGAGGTGGGACTTTTGAGAAAGGGGTGGTGCTTCTAGATTTATTTTAATTTTAATTTTTTTTGGTACCGGGGATTGAACTCGGGACCTTGCGCTTGCAAGGCAGGCACCGGAACCACTGAGCTAAATCCCCGGCCCGTGTAGTGCTTCTAGAGGAAAGGGAAGAGACAGGTGTAAAAGGCTTTAGCAGAGACAGGTGGAGTATGTGCTTGATGACTTGTACTTTTCGGTGTGCTGCAAACTGAGAAGGGAAAGGGGAAGAGTTGGAGGGGTCTTGGAATAGAAATAACCAGTGAGACAGATGGTTGCACAAACCGCGCACCTAGCAAGCATTCTGAGAACCATCATGGCCGCTGTGTCCTGTAGATATAAGGCCCAGATGATTAACATAGGAAGATAAGATTTATACTCTTGGAAACTTGAACAGATTGTGCTAGTTGGGTGGTGCACATGCATAACTTTGAGGATAACCCATCCCTTTGCCCAGTGTGTTCCAAAGCTATTTGTAAGATTGAAGTCCCAACAGCGGTTTTCTGTAGAGACTATCACCAGAAATCAGGATGCACAGGCCAACTTCAAGACCTATTTAACCGGTTCCTGTGTGTGACGCTTAGCTCGGTATTAACGAACTTAACTCCAGCATGGCTAACATAGTTTCTCTTTATTTATTTCTTCATTCAACACATAGGCTAATAGAAACCTGACTTTCTGTGGCTGAAATTCTGACAATAGATTGAAGATTCTTTTAAACCTGCATTATCTAGAAGAAGTGTAGAGCTAATGAGAAGTTAGGGCAAGGTGGTAAGGAATTTTAAGGAATTATAGCCTGATTTTGACTTGAATACCCTGGACTTTGTCTTTACCCATCAACATTCTTCCCACCATTAGTAATACAAACAAACAAAACATGGATATATAGTGAAGAAGATAAGGATTTTTGATCATGTGAAAAAAATCTTAAAATTCTAGTCGATCTTAATGTTGGTGTTAATCGAGATTGAGATATAGCTTTTCAAAAATATAACAATATTTGTTGATGTGTTTTTAAATTGGTATTTTAGTAACCTTTGTTCAGGCAATAGGTGTAGGTTTCAGATCAACATGAGTTAGGTTTCAAAATAGACACTTGTAGTAGGTCCACATAGGAAGTAGTGCCCTCAGTTCCAGGTACCACACTTTAAGACATTGACAAGCAATTGTGTGTCCTTAAGATGATGAAGAATTTGGGATCTGTGTCTGAAGGAATGGTAGCTGTCTTTAGTTTTTTATTTTGTTTTGTGACAGGGTCTTGCTGTGTAGCCCAGGCTCACATTGAACTCACAGAGATCCTCCTGTCTGAGCCTCCCAAGTGCTGGGATTATAGGCATGCACCACCAGGCCCAGCTCCAGAAAACTCTTTTTAGTTCTTTTAGTTTTATCTGGGATGTTTTATAGGAATCTGATCTATGATCATGTGGTTCAGGGGTCAGCCAGAGATTTGAGCGAACTTCTGCACAGAATTTAGGGATACTCTGTTCTTCTGGCTCTTTCTATACCAGAATTTCCCTCAGTTTCCTTTCTATCTGCAGTTGTCCTGAACTCTGACTGACCTTTGGATCTTGGAGCCAGTTCCTGGTTTAAAGAACCGAAACAGGAAGCTGTAGAAAATATGAGACAAACTCTGCCTTCTCTCCCCAAGTCTAGACTCCCTCCAGTGTCTGCTTGTTTGGGGATGCTCTCTAGGACCTTTGGGGAATTGTTTTAGTTATTTTTTTGGAAGGGTGGTCCACTAGAAGCTTCTTCTTTTACCACAGCCCCATGCCTACCTGGCTTCTTTCTGGCTTTCCTCTGTCTTTTGCATTTTCAACCTTAGTACAAGCTGGTACCCCTTATAGTCTATAAATGGCCCGTGAGGGCCACAGATGTAGCTCAGTGGCACTTTGCCTCCCTGGCAAGCACAAGGTCCTGAGTTCAATACTTGGTACTGGAAAAAAATTAAAATTAAAAATTAAAAATATAAATGGCCTGTTATGGTTGAGAAATGATTTAAACAGCTCTTAGAAATACATATTTTTTCTTTTGTGACTAGCAGGACAAAAAAATTTTTTTTTCCTGTCAACACACACGCACACAAACCTGTAATTCATTTTGATTGAGCCAACTCAGATTACAAGCCTGTTTGTGAAGTATTTATTTTTATTCAGGTTAAAGTCACGTAACATAAAATTCATTACTTTAACCATTTTTAAAGTGCACCATTCATTGGTGGTTTTAGGAATACACAGTCTTGTGGAACCCTCACCACTGATTCCGGCACATTTTCATCACCCCCAAAAGAAGCCTCCTGGTTCCCTACTCAGCCCCCTGCAACTCTCATCTTTCTGTCTCTACAAATTTACCAAATTCTTGGTATTTTATATAAATAGATCTATGTAATATGTGGCCTTTTGTGTCTGCCTTCTTTCACTCAGCGTAATATTTTCGAGGTTCGTCATGTTGTAGGAGGTGTCAGAATCTCATTGCTCCTCACCCCTTGGTACCACGCGTCGAACTCAGGACCTTGCGCTTGCCAGGCAGGCACGGCACCACTGAGCTACATCCCCGGCCCCCTCATTGCTTTTTATGGCTGAATAATTAATTGAGCTGTGCCACATTTTATTTATCCGTCCATCTATTGGCAGGCATTTGGGTTCCCACTTTTTGGGTTTTAAGAATAATGTGGCTGGGCCGGGGATTTAGCTCAGTGGTTCCGGAGCCTGCGCAAGGTCCCCAGTTTGATCCCCTGTACCAAGAAAAAAAAAGTAATGTGGCTGCTAGGTGTGGTGGTGCACACCTATAATCCCAGCACTGGGGAGGCTGAGACAGGAGGATTGCCATGAGTTAAGGCCAGCCTGGGCCATATAGCAAGACCATGTCCCAAAAAGCCAAAAAAACAAAAAGCAAACAAACAAAAACCCCTAAACTCAAACCACTTTTCAAATTGCAGGAAGAAGATGTCAAAAATTATAAGCAACCATCCCAGTAATGGATCTCTGTCAGGAAAGTGAGACTGATTTAGAAAATAATGAAATTCAAAGCCCAGAAGAAACTGAACTAACCTTTACTTGTGCGGGTGAAAGAAGTGAAAAGAATCACATTTACTGTCTTCTCGACATCAGTGACCTTACGCTGGAAGAGGACGCTGGAGCCAATGAGTTTGCAATTGGCACTGGCTGGGAAGAAGCCGTGAGTGTCTTCTGGACTTGGGTCTCTTTCACTTCAGTGTTTGAGGCAGACATTCCCCCCGCACCCCCAAATAGCTAATATTACCAAAAATGTCCAGTCAGTGAAATACAGGGTCTTTGGAACAGAGGTAATATCACTGATGATAATAGCAGTGTCACTGGGTATCTGTGGCCACCCAGAATGTGGGCCACTCTGTACTACGAGTTCTGTCAGGAAGGTGAGACTGATTTAGAAAATAATAAAATGTTTCTGGGGAAGGTGGCACACACCTGTAATCCCAGCACTTGGGAAGCTGAGGCAGGTGGATCGCTGTGAATTCAAGGCCAGCCTGGACCTCATAGCGAGCCCCTGTCTCAGAAAACCAAAACCAAAACAAAAGAACCTCATCAAATGTACACATCCACTCATTTACCCTCTCAGGGGTGAGAACACTGAGGCAGAAGGTGAACTAACACGCAAAGGTCACCCAGTCAGGATGTGGGTGGAGCAGGGCTTGCATCCGGGTCTCCCGGACCCGGAACCTGGGCTGCTTCCTCAGGTGCCAGGCTCCTCCAAAGGTTTCTGTCTCTGTAGTTCTCTGCAGAGCCCTGTGGGTTTATTGTTCAAGTATTCTTAGCATCAAAGAAGGAACCCTAAGTTTAAGATAGTAAGGCAACTTGGGCAAATCCAAAATTCAATGTAAGGTTCCCAGATTAAGGCACTGAAAACAAGGGTACCAGGTAACTTTGATGTTCAGATGAATAATACTTTATTTAGTATTAAATATATTGCAAATACGTGTTTTTACCTGGCAACCCTACTTTAACAGTGACCTCTTTAGCTCAGTCAGCCAAGGGAGTACAGGTGTGAGGGGCCGTGGCCATGCTTTGGGTCTGGTTCTCCCAAGGCCCTGTTCCTGCTCACTGCTGTCCCTGCAGCCTCTCCAGGAAACAGGAAACAGAGCCTAGCAGTGCAAGAAGCCCTTGGCGGTGGCATAGGAATGAACACTTTCAGTTTTATTTTAGTATATGTGCTATTAAAGTGAGCATTTGATTTTATTTTAATAATGCTAAATTCATTGTGCATCTGTAGTCAGCACATCAAAGTGGCCATTTACAAACACTGCTGTTCAGGCTGGTTTTGAACTCACTATGTAGCCCAGGCTGGCCTGGAACTCACCATGATCTTCCTGCCTTGGCCTCCTGAGTGCTAGGATTACAGACCTGTGCCACCACACCCAGCTCAATACTATTTTGCTAGCTACACTCAGGATTAACATGTGCTATCATAAATACTGATGCTCGGCTAGGCGTGGTGGATGCCTATAATCCCAGTACTCAGGAGGCAGAGGCAGGAGGATCACCGAAAGTTCAAGGCCAGCCTGAACTACAAAGTGAGACTCTGTCTCAAAAAACAAAAAAGAATACTGATGCTCAATAAGAGGTCAAAATAGGTATTAAACGGTTTTGGGGTTTTTGGTTTGGTTTGGTTTGGGTTTTGTTTCTTTGCTTTTTTGAGTTCAGGCTGGCCTTGAACAAGCTATGTAGCCCAGCTGGTCTCAAACTCAAGGTGATCCTCCTGCCTCAGCCTCCCAAGTACTGGGATTACAGATGTGCACCACTACAACCAGGTCTAAAAGCTTTTTTTAAAGATGAGTTGATTTTAAGAAAAAGATATCAGTTCACAATATCGGCAGCCCAAATGGGAACGTGGCCAAAGCTGGGACAACTAGAGCAACTCTGGCAGAGCTTCACCTGCTGGTTTATTTGCAGGTCCAAGGCTGGGGAAAGACTTCTCCCACTGCCTGCATCTGGCCCAGGAAGAAACTGAAGAAGGCTCGGGGCTGCGCCAGTGCCAGCAGCAGCTGCTTGCTCTGTGCCAGCCTCTCCCCAGGGAGCCCAGAGGCCAGGCCTCCCACCTGGCCCAGGAAGGTGGAGGCCGGGGCGGAGGTGGGCCTGGAGGGGAGTCAGGGCTCCCAGGGCCCGAACACGGCTCCCAGGGAGGCCAGCAGAATCTGCTTCCCCCACGATGTCCCTGAAGGAAAAAAAAGCCTGCGAATGAAGGAGTTCATCTGGCGCCTGGAGGACTGGGCCATCCCCGGGGTGAGGGGCGCGGCCGCTGAGCGAGCGCCCACCGCGCCCACCGTCTCCGACTCCCTGAGCTCCAAGGCCCACCTGGTTCTGCCGCCCCTGAGAGCCTCAGCCCAGAGCCGCCTGAGTAAGAACTTGTTCTGTCAGTCAGAAGAGGAGGCGCCGAGTGTGGACAAGGAAGAGGGTGTGGACGGGAAAGGGGAGCAGGAACCCTTGGAGCTGGCCGGGCACCTTCCGCTCGGTGACGCCCGGCCTGGCCCTGGCCCTGCCCCCGCGGCCCGGTCCCTGCTGGCCCACGCGGAGCGGTGCTGCCTGAGCTGGTCCCTGCTGCCTGAGAGGAGCCCCGGCTCCCTCCCCTACTTCGCCACCGTGCAGCCCCTGCAGAAGCGCGGCATGCAGAGCTACAGGGCCAAACTGAAAGCCAGGGGGCTGGGGCTGCCCAGGAACTCACAAAAGCTTGCCTTCCCAGAGGCCAGGCGCGAGAACAGGCCGCCTGTGCTGGAGACCGACGTGCTCCCCAGGTCTCTCCTGCCCGCCCTCACCGTGAGCAGAGTCGTCATCCCTGTCTCCACGCACAGAGTCCTCTGACTGTGACAATAGAGTTCCACGAGGAGCTGCCAGGCTCTGTGTCCTTTCTCTTCCTATCCTCGGTCAGCCCTATACTGTGTCCTCTCTGCATCCCATCCTTTTGTAAAGCAGTAGAACCAGAGGAGATTCATCCTCCGAGGATGGGTTTGGATTTAGTCTCTAACACACCATATTCATGGTACCGCTTCTGCAGCTCAGCCATTTGCAAACTGCAAACTGGCAATGCCAGCCAGGCCTCTGCCTGCCTTGCCTGTCCATGCCCAGCAGAGGCTCTGGGGAAGGTGACCAAGGGCCTCCCAGCTGACAGCGACTCTCTGTCTGTCCCCAGGTGGCTAAGATCAAAGTGCTGCCTGGGCTTCTGAACCAGGCAGTATCTGCTGCTGCCTCATTGGCTCTTGCAACAAAGATTGGAAACATCACTTTAGTAGAAAACTCTAGCTCTTGCCTGCTGAATGTCCTGTTGTCCAAGTGTCACTCCTTTGTATCACATCCAGGGATGTGCACCATGCACTGTCACTTTTCTGTCCTGCGTGTCACATCCTCTTGTTGCTAATCCTGTGCCTGAAAGTTTTAATCACAGTTTTACAGAATCCAGCCTGGGAGGCAGGTTAAGAATAATTAATTGTTTGGAAAAGAGAAAGAAAAAGGGGGCCGGGGATTTAGCTCAGTGGTTCCGCCACCTGCCTTGCAAGTGCGAGGTCCTGAGTTCAATCCCCAGTACCAAAAAAGAAGAAAAAGGTCACTGTGATTATCATCAGCCCACCTGCTACTTCTACCCCTTCCATGGACCTAGTACTTGTCAGCCCTCGGCCCCAGTCACTTAGGGGACAAGACTGTCACCTTTTCCTTTCTGTCCTACTTCTGCCCTCTTTTAATCCCCATGCTTATTCCTTGAAGTTGAATACAAATTAAACATTGTAAATAAGCTCTATTTTTCATGCCAAGTGATGCTATGTTGACAGATTCTCTAACAAACTGGTGACATGCATAACCCTGAAGCTCCTTCGTGATTACATAGTTTGAAAGGCCTAAGGTAGTTGGGCAACTCCGGGCTTCCCGTCTCCTACATGATGAAGAGGACTGAAAACGACTGCATGTGTAAGCATTGTTTTTCATATCTGGTCTTTGCCATATCTGTTAGCCTGGGTATTTATTTATTGTGATGTTGGGGGTCCAACCCACTGCCCCGAGCAAACTGGGCCAGTGCTGTGCCCCTGAGCTACACCTCCAGCCCTTGTTGGTTGGTTTTAAGAAAACCAGCCTAAGAATGACGGTCACACAGAGTCATTACGAGGTGATTTGCCTCCTGAAGTTGGATACTTCTTGTTTTTGTTTTTTTTTTGGTACCGGGGATCGAACCCTGGTCCTTGCACTTACGCAGCAGGCAGTGAAACAACTGAGCTAAATCCCCAGCCCAAGTTGGATACTTCTTTGTGGTTTAGAAGCAGTTTTTAGGATTCTGTTTTCTTCTCTTTCCTTGCCCAGTAAGGAAACCACCTGGATTCTGTCCAAAGAGGAAGCTCATTTCCCAGTGTTTTGGGACACAGGGTGTTGGCCCCTCAGCACAGCTCTTGTATCCTCCCCACCTAAGTCAGTCTTTTTCCCAGCCCCCTTTGTTTTATTATTATTACTATCATTATTATTATTTTGGTCTTTTGAGACAGGGTCTTACTATGTAGTTCAGGCTCGCCTTGAACGCATGGGATTACAGGTGTGCCCCTCCATTCCCGGCTTGCCTAGCCCCCTGTGAAAAGCAGCAGGGCAGTGCCTAAGTTCGTCCTGCACAAGTGCCAGAAGTGTGTGGCAGGGAGGGGGGAGACCTCACTGTCACAGCCTGCGTACTTACCTTCTGAGAAGATGATTTGAAAATACCGAGCTAAGTTACAATGGAAAACTCCTTTTAAGAAAGTCTTTTGTTCTGATAAGAGTTGCACATATTACTGGGGTTTGTGTGTATGTCTGTGTGTGTATGTGTGTGTTGCTAGAGACTGAACCGAGGGCCTCATGCCTGCTGGATAGGCACTGTACCACTGAGCTAGACTGATGCCGTGTATTTTCTTCAAATGAAAAAATAACTCCAGGGCTGGGGATTTAGCTCAGTGGTTTGGCCGCCTGCTGTGCAAGCCGCAAGGACCCGAGTTCGATCCCCGGTACCAAAAAAAAAACCAAAAAAAAAAACCAAAACAAAAAACTCCAAACATTACCCAGCATCTTTCAGGATAGTCTACTAAATGTTTATTTCCCCTTTACCTGGAGGAATCAAAAACACGCTGATCCGGCCCTCTCGCAAAACAGTGACCGAGTACAGAACGCCGCCTCTTCCAGCCTCTTCTGTCTGTTCTTCAGCCAGAACCATGCTATTTACAGAGAGCCAAGGCAGGCAAAACAATAATGAAATGACAGCAACAATCATTTCATCATGTGACTTTCAGAAAACTGAATTTGTAAAAAGGCAACAAAATAAGTCACATCATGTACAGGTCAAAGAATTCACACAAAAAGGTAGAATACTAGCTTCTGTTTAATCACTGGATTTCAGTTTTTACAAATAATCTTAGTTCAGCTGACTAAAGTTTTGGGGGAAACAGTTCTTGCACATGAACAATTACATGCTCCATTTTTCTGTAAATAACTCTATTGGCTGGATTAACAAACATTTCCACAGACACACAAAAGAATGTTTAAAGCCATAGATCACTCCATTTATATTTACAAAAAACCATAAACAAACATGCATTTCTCCTTTAGCAGGATGACTTAAATAGATATCTGAACATTAAGGCAGTGACAATTCTAAAACAATGACAATCTAAGTTAAGGCTTTATGTTTGAAACTCATATTCATAGGCAACTGCAGCACACTTATCTAATAGGTTGAATTCATCTATCTGCCCCGTGTTACTGACCCATTCATCACCAGTTCTTTTGTATCAGACGGATGGGGTAAGCATTAGTAGCAACACCATCAATTTACTTTAATGACTCATTAGTCCACTTCTTCGGTTTTGAGGATTTAGCTTCAGCAGCAAAGGCGTGTGCTACAGAAAGAACAGAGCATTTTGGGGTAAGCTTAGAGACCTCAAAAGCTGCACTGATTCTTACTTTCCTGAAAGCTAGCCAACAATTAAGAAGTCAGGACCTACTGGATACAGAGAACCAGCAAAGCATACTTGACTGTGCTCTTGGCTCAAAACACAGAACATGTTCTTGAAGCAATAGGTTTCCACCTTCTCCATTTTCTTTAAAGACTATGTTACTCTTTAAATAAAGCAACAATAAGCAGAATACCATATTTTGGATGGATCTATTGTATAACTGTTAGCCTCAAGGCACAAAATATATCCTTGACCAGTGTGTTTCCTTATTCAAGGAAAAGATGAGTGGTGGTTGGAAGGAAAAGCCACTTTAAAATACTCGTAGATTGGCCGGGGATTTAGCTCAGTGGTTCTGCCACCTGCCTTGCAAGTGCAAGGTCCTGAGTTTGATCCCTGATACCAAAAAAAAAAAAAAAAAAAAAAAATTGTAGATTGGATCCTTGTCCCATGAAGCTTAGAAGTGTGAAGTAGTGAAATCTGGGGATGGGGGCAATGTCCTTTTCTGCTCTTTTTCATTATTAGGAGGGACAACACTCAAAGGCAGCCAGTGGGCACACTGCGGATGGGAAGCAGCTCTGGAGCCCAAGCTGGCCTGCCTGGAGAGCAGGGATGGTTGTAGATGTGATAACATGAAATGTACATTTGCTCTTCCTCCTTGGGACTAATAGTCTAAGATCTTTGTGATCTCTGGAGTAAGTGTTGTGTTTGCTGTTGTTGCATGACAATGCGATCACTGGCAGCTGGCAGTCACTAGGTAGCTTCAGGGTGGACTGGGCACAAGGAAGACCCAGCACAATTAGAGGGCTGGGCTGTTTTCACTTTACTTCCTACCAGCCTTCAGGGAGGGGAAAGGCTGCAGTTAAGTTGATCACCAAGGCCAAGAATTTAAGCAACCACACGCGTGTAATGAGAACTGGGTTCCAAGAGCTTCCTACAGCTGAGCCCGGGGCGGGTGTCCCGGTGGGTGGTGCTCTTTCAGGGCATGGAAGCTCTGTCCCCTTACCACATTTCACCCCAACATCCCTTCATCTGGATCCTCTCCAACACCCCGGTGCATGTTTCCAAGTTCTGCAAGCTGCTCTAGCAAATTAATCAAACTCAAGGACAGAGTGATGGTATCTCCAATTTCCGGCTGGTTGCTAGAGATCCTGGAGGCCTGGACTGCAGGTGGGGTCAGAACTGGATGGCACTGGGGTCACCTGCAGCTGGTCACCCCTCTGCAGGACAGCTTGCTGGGTGGGGGAACCCACACCATTGGTCATGGACATCTTCTGGATGGATGTGGCTGGAGAGCAGAGAGAGGTGTTTTGCTCTTAAAGCAGGGCACATTTTGCTCTTAAAACAGCACAATTTTGTCACCGATGAAGGGGTCGGGATGCCTTGCTCTTGCTTAGAGCCTGGTGATTTACACTAAGTGCTGGCTGCTCCTTCTCTAGGCAGTAATTTCATAGCAACAACCCTTGGGTGAGGGAGGACTGTCCCCGGGATCAGCGATCGCTTGTGAGAGGGCACAGCAGTGACTTCAAGAAAACCACTGCAAAATCTACATAAAGCTGGCTGTGGTTTCCCTCCGTATTGGAATAGAGAAGAGATGGGAAGAGACGGCAAAGCAGGAGCAAGTGCAGCAGCACGTGTCTCCATCCACAGAAGCGTAGTCTGGAGCAGGTGAGGTGTGGTTTACGTGTGTCACGCTTGGCTAAAACGCCGAAGATGGGAGAAGTCTGCACCCCAACACCTGGTAAGCTTGGCTTCAGCCAAATGGCTGTGTTTGACATGGGATGGAAAGACCAGCTGTGAAAGCGCAAATGTAGGCAACATGAAAACATTTTCAGATCGACATCTTACACTTTATAATACACTCACATTTATACACAAATAGCATGTTTGTTTACAAGTACAAAAGGCAAAGAATCGCAAAGAACCTAAGCAACTGCGTCATGGACTACATTCAACAGAGTTAATACTGTCATCCCTGTTCCCCGTTTTTTTAAAGTCTGGGAGGAAATGGCAACTGCCACTCACAGTGGCCTAATCCTTTAGAAGTTGTGCAGCTCGGCACACGTCTGGGTTTCCACGGAGCTGAACTGAGACTCCATGGTGTTCCAGGCCAAATCGGCCAGCAGGAAGTCGTCCATGGCTGTCTGCGTTTCGTTGCTGGTGAAGAACAAGCTCCCCAGAGTCTCCAGGCCTGACCTGGTGGTCTGTGTTTCGGCGCTGTTCAGCTGCACCTTGCTCTCCAGAGCGGGGACACTTCGGGCGGCGCAGAGTCCTTCGGTCTGGGTCTCAGTGTCGGACGAGTCCGTACTCATGGAAAAGCTGGAGTGTTTCAGGATGCTGCCGAGGGGCAGGTGAGGGCTGCTGTCTAAAAAGAAGTTTAAATCCGTCTGGGTCTGCGTGTCGAACATCTCGAGCCCTAGGAAGTGAGCCCCGCCCCTGCACCCGTAGGGTGGGGCGGACGGATCCGCAAGAAAGAAGTCGGTCTGGGTCTCTATGTCCAGTGACTCCAGGACTGGCTCCGTGGCCATGGTGCCGAGGCCGCTCTCTTCAGTTTGAGTCTGGATGTTGGAGGCGGAGAAGAACTCTTCAATATCAAAATCGATGCTGGGGTTCTGGGTGGGGCCGGAGGGGAGCTGGGTGTCAGCCCCGGGATTGGCATCAGACAAAAGACCACGGTTGTCCAACGCCTGACCGGGCAGAGTGCTTGACAAGATGTTTTCTAAGTCGCTCAACAGATCTATGGTTTGGGTCTGGTTATCTGTCATGTTCTGTGAGGGAAGCATGCCGTTCTGCGCACTAAAGTTTAAGATGGGTGCGGATTTCTCAATATCTTCACTTAAAGCCTTAGGGTTGCTCTGAGGTAACAAACTGTGAGTGACGGTCTCTGCTACTAAACTGCTGTTTATAATATTATCTGTGGGGACGCTGTATGAGTGGACACTCTCAAAAATGTCCCCACACATCCCGGCTTGGTCCACCTGCATCCGGGTGTCCGGGGGCCCCAGCACCCTGCAGGTCTGGGTCTCCCTGGAGACCCCACCTGGCTGGAGACAGGTGTCGAGGAAAGTGTCCGTCTGAGCAGCGATGGACGACACTGCTTTAGAGCTGGGGAGCAGAGTCTGAGTGTGAACACTAATGGGAAGAGACACTTGAGAATCAAATGACAGGTCGGTTTGAGAGCAAGATGACACGGAGGAGTCAGGGCCAGGCCATGGGGCAGAGGGGACCAAGTGTGGCGAGGCACAGGTCAGATCCGTCTGCACGTTGATGGATGAAATGCCGTTTCTCTGACATGGGCTCCCTAGCTCTTGGGAAGGATTAGAAGGACTCTTTCCTAGGTTCACTTGAACACCCATACTCACTGGCTCAACACCGGGATTTATAACTTTGGAGAGAGGCAAGCTCTCCTTCAGGGAGCATGCCTCGGAATCTAGGCCGAGGATCAGAGCCCCCACCGACAGGGGCACCAGGTGCACGGCACCCGTTGCTGAGCCCTGATCGACGCCCAACACCACGGGCTGGGCTGCAGAGTCGGCTGTAGGCACAAAGACCGGCATAGGCGACAGCTGCATGACCGGAAGCTTCACCAGAGCCACCTTGGGCTTCGGTAGGAGCAGCTTCTGAGGGTATCGTGGAGGTGTGGTGACGCTCTGCTTCCTGGAGCCTCGGGAGTCCTCAAGAGAGGGCATGAGTTTTATTTCTGAAGTCTCCAGTTCCTGGGCTTCTGGCCGAGGGTTTGGTTGGCTGCTCGAGGATTCAATGGTCTTTGTGGACAACTTCTGGTTTTGCAGGTAGTTTTCCATTTTCCTTTTTTTACTAGGTGGATCCCTGAAAACAATGACAGCAATTTAAAGCACAGCATTCTTTGACCACGCTGCTTCTCATATCAGAGGTCAGACTCACCCAGATACCTCCCTTCTGGCAACCCTGGGGAGCGGGCTGTCCTTGCAGGTAGGTGTTCAGAAGGGGTGCAAACAGGGAAGGAGGAACATTTCTCTTTATAAGGCTGTAATATTAAGCATGAGGGAGCTGTTGTAACAAATCTATGCTGGACCTTTAAAATGAAGTATAGACACATGATGAAACTTACTCTTTAGCAATGTGATACGCCTCAAAAGATGCTTAGAGTTGGGATTTTCCAATGGGAATAGTAAGAGACCCTCACAGAGGGTGCACAGAAGAAAAAGAGGCAGTGCTAGAGGTGGTGGCGCAGGCCTGTCGTCTGAGCACTCAGGAAGCATAAGTAGGGGGATCACGAATTCGAGGCCAGCCTGGGCTACAGTGAGTTCAAGGCCAGCCATGGAGCACAAGGTGAGAACTTGTCTCACGGGGATGGGCGGGCAGGTGCGGGCTGGGAACACCAAACAAAAAAACAAAACAAAACAATGGGAAAGGAAGAACAAGTGGGTGAAGACTCCAGGCCCGGGCACGACTGCCGCCATTCGGGCCGCCTCTCCGAAGCTGCCCATTTCCTCCACTCCGCCTTGCTCCCCCCAGCTGCCGCCGCCTGCCCTCACCGGTGCTCCGCGGGGATCTCGTGGCCTGTGCGGTAGATGTGCGACTGCAGCGCCGTCCTACTGGCATAGGGGCAGCCGCATGTGCACTGGAAGGTCTTGCCGCAGTCCTCTGCGTGCCTCTTCAGGTCCCACTCGGTGCCATACGAGTTGCTGCACTTGCTGCATTTGTGCTTCTTCTCGGCGTGCATCTTCATGAAGTGCTGGGGAGGGCACAGGGGGCGGGACGCTGGGGAACACACCCACAAGCAGCCGCCCGCCCGCCCACAGCTCTGCTCCCTCGAGCTCCGATCCCTGCTGCTGCCCGCTAAGTACAGAGCAGGCCGGGCTTATGCCTTCTTATTTCGTCCCGGAGGAGTATATTAAGAAAAGTAAAATACCTGTTTTACGAGAGAAAACTGTGAAAATGGTCTGTCGGGGCCTCTGGGGCATCCTTCAATTGGACAACAGTAGAATTTTGGTACAGTCTTCAAGTCTTTTCTTATTGTTGGGTTTACTATGCCATCCTGCAAAAGGGGAATTACTTACAATCATTGTTTTCAGAAAACCCACAGCACAGGCTGGTGGTAGAAATAAAGGAATGACTGAAAGTGGACACAAGGATTCTCTTTAAGGCGAGGACATGTTCTGAAACCGGACTGTGACGAGGGCTGTGAGGTGGGAGACAGTGCGTGGGGAGCGACCCAGCCCAGGTCGGCTTCTGCTCCCTCATGTTTCTGCCAGGAGCTGGACATGCACGCTCCTGCCCTCAGCGGCCTCCTGCAGGGCTGTCACTGCTCAGTCACAGAGAACCCATGGGTATTACAATGTCCTTAGCAGAAGCTTCCACCCCCAAGTATAAAATGCAGACCTGCGGGTGAGGCGCACAGCTGACTGCAGAAAGGCAGGGCTAGCGACCACCCCACCACGCCCACAGTCCAGGAGAACAAGCCAGCCCTGAAGCTCAGGCAGTGGCGGCCTCTGGCTCCGCCCCTCGGCCGAGGGCATTTTCATCTCTGACGGGGGCCAGCTATGGGCACTGCCCTCACCAGCGCCTAAGCAGCTCCACTCCCGCTCTGTGGACAGCTTTCCCTGTAATAAATCTCCGCCTCCCTCACTCCTGTGTGTCCTGCTCAATCCTGCGTTTGGGATACAGAGAACTAGGGTATAGGGTGAGACAGAGACCAGCTGTCTGCTAACAGTTGTACAAGTCTATAAATCTACCAGAAAAAATCGTTAGTCACTGAAATAGGTATTTTTCACGGTGTGTGAACTGTACCTCGAGACACCTTTAAACATTTTTTTCAAAAAACCCACAAAAACAATTCTCTCTCTCTGATTTTCTGAGCCAGGGTCTCACTATGTGGTCCAGGCCGGCCTTGAATTCACAATTCTCCTTCCTCAGCTGGGATTACAGGCATGCATTGTGGCTATTTCCTTACTGAAATCACATGCAACTTTTTATTTTTGGAGTGGCTAGGAAAAGAACCCAGGGCAGGCTAGGCAAGAGCTTTACCACTCAGCTATATCCCCAGCCCCAAAACTCCTTTCTAAAAAAAAAAAAAAAAATCTTACCTCTCTCTATTCCTTTACCATTCTGCCTGAACTCGGAGCTTCTGCCCTTGCAGCCAGCTTCTGTTTGCAGGTGCAATCATATTGACAGTGATGCAGGCTCAGGATTTGGGCATCAACTCTGGTCTGTTTCTTTTTGTTTCTTTTTTGAGAAGGGGGCTTGCTAGGAGTCCAGGCTGGCCTCAAAATTGTGATCCTCCTGCCTCAGCCTCCTGAGTGCTTGGATTACAGGCGTGCGGCACCACACCTGGTTGGTCTGTTTCTGTACCTCCAAGGTTCTTAGTCTGAGTCCCTGGGAAAACCTCTGTGACCAAGCCCTGGGCCTCCTAATCAGCAGCAGTGTGATTGTCTCTGGTTTTCACACTGACCCCTGAATTAACTAGAGACCACCGACACAACTTTAAAGCAGTCTTTGGGTAGGCTCCTTGCTATAGCTGACATTTCAGAATCATGAAAATGCCCAGTATTAACAACTTTTACTATGCATCAGGCACTGACTGTCCTAAGCATTTTTAATCAAACACTCTTTTATTTTTTGGTACCAGGGATTGAACTCGGGACATTGTGTTTTCGAGGCAGACATCATCGGAACCACTGAGTTAAATCCTCAGCTCTAAGCATTTTAAATTTTATTTTATTTATCTATTTACTTATGGTTTTTTGAGACAGGGTCTCACTATGTAGTTCAGGCTGGCCTTGGACTCATTATGTACCCCAGGCTGGGCTCCAACTCAAAGCGATCCTCCTGCCTCAGCCTCCCAAGTGCTGGTATTATGGATGTGCACTATCACACCCAGCTGCATGATATTAATTCTAATAATCTTTTGTTATGTATGCAATTCTTTTAAACAGTTTCATTAAAAAATATACATATAAAAAAAGTTAATACATAATTTTGGGCAGGGGATTTAGCTCAGTGGTTCCGCCACGTGCCTCACAAGCAGAAGGACCCAAGTTCGATCTCTGCTACCCAAAAAAAAAAGTTAATAAAAAATATACATATATTTTAAGAGGCCAGGTCTTGCTACATTGCCTAGGGTGGCCCTGAATTCCTGGCTCAAGTGATCCTCCTGCTTCAGCCTTCTGTATACAAGAGTATATATGTGCACACCACCACACCTGGATGCAACTGACTTTTTGGCTGGGAGTTTTAAAATACTTGGTGAGTTGGGTTAGCCTGAGATGCCTTGTCCTGTAGCTCACAGGCTGAAGGATGCGGACTCCAGGTGGCTTTCAGTAAAGTTCTTGTCTGGCCCCTCCTAATTGGCCCTAAAGGAGGGTTGGGGGCAATGCTTCTATGGGGCCCAAAGAAATAGGTGTGCTCAGGCCTTGAGTGCTGCTGCTAGAAACTCCCTCCAGTGTCCCGCAGAGAAACGGCCACCACTGTGGGCACAGCCATCTCCTCCCACAGCAGCTGGAAGAGCCACCGACCACCCCGTCAGCTTCCTGTGGGTCTCAGAACATGTGCACCACACCAAGCCTGGTCTGCTCATTTGAGGGAAGAGGGCCGACCCGTCTCACTGTACACCTCCTTCCCACTAAGCAGCTCCGTCCTAGGCACACTGTCACATGACTACTTAAGCGCACTCCCCAACAATTCCCGTCCTCTCTAATGTTATTCAAACTTGACATGCAGAGAGTTTATGTGTTGTGGTTTCACAACAAAGAGGGGCATGTGAGGCAGAATTCCCGCTCCTCACTGTGGTGCCACCAAGGCCCTCACACAGGAACTTCTTTCTGTTCCTTTCACACTCACCCTGCTCCATCTGCATGGGGCTCTCCCTCCTCCCCTTCCGCCCACTCCAGCCACCGGGCGGGAGTGGGCGGGGGCCGAGACTCCGTACAGGCCCATGCAAGTCCACAGCTGCAGCCTCTCTGAGCCAGCTTCCCCTTTCTGTAACTCAGGATTATCTTGCAGCACAGTGCGTGGATTAGTGTGGAGCTGCCGCAGGTCACACTTGCAATGCTATCTGCTCACCGTACACACAGCTGAAGCTCCGGTCTTTCTCTAAATTCCAACACAGCACTTAATGTACCTTAAATACTGTCATTTTCTTTGTTTTTGAGGCAGGGAATGCTATGTAAATCAGGCCGGCCACGAACCTGTGGTGATCCTCCTGCCTCAGCCTAGCTGTAATTTTCTTGTATAATTTCTGCCTCTCAACAGAATTTCTTTTTTTCTTTTTTTTTTCTTTTTGGTAACAGGGATTGAACTTGGGACCTTGTGCTTGGGAGGCAGGCGGTGGAACCACTGGGCTAAATCTCCAGCCCTCAACAGAATTTCTTTAGGGCAGAAGCTAATGCACCTCTGGTAGTGTTCCTGCTTTAAGAAGAATGCAAGCTGGGTGTGATTGTGCACACCTATAATCCCAGCACTCAGGAGGGTGAGGCAAGATCATTGAGTTTGAGGCCAGCCTAAACTATACAGTGAGTTCAGGTACAGGGAGACCTTGTCTCAAAAAAAAGAAAACAGAAGAGGAAAGCAAACCACATGCTAAATACAGAGCAGTCTCAACTCTGGCATCCCAAGATCATGGACATTCTACAAACATCCATCCTGCCAGGCATGATGGCCTGTGCCTGTGACCCCAGCCCTCTGGGAGGATGAAGCAGGAGAAGCATGGGCTTAAGCACAGCATCTTGGGAACTTAGAGAGACTGTCTCTAAATAAAAAATAATAAAAGGGCTGGGGATACAGCTCAGTGAGAAGGCCCTAAATTCACTATCTAGTACCACAAAAGAAAGATTTAGAGAAACCCACACCTGGACCTGACCCCAGGTATTCTGGTGTGGTGGTCTTGGTGTGGTCAGGGATCCATATCTAGTTTTTTTTTGGTACCGGATGGAACTCAGGACCTTTCCCTCACGGGGCAGGCGTGGGTGCCACTGAGCCAAATCCTTGGGCCCATATCTGGTTTTAAAATGTTCCCAGATAACCCCAGCGAGCAGCCTCATCTAAGAGCTACAGGTGCAGCTGTTCCCCATGGGCTCTGGAACTGTACTGCGATAGCTGGAATTCTCTCTGCTGCCACTGTACTGTGACCTTGAGCAAATCAAACTCTTGGTTTCCACACCTGTGAAGTGGGTGTAACACTACCTAGTCTAGGTTGTTGTGGGGACCCAGTTATCCAGGTAAAGGGCTCAGCAGACCTTACTATGTAATGCATCACTCATGTGAGGCACTAGTTACTGGCTGTGGGGGATTTTGTTTCTTCTTCCCCTTTTTGCCAACGACTCCAATAAACTCATCTCACTGATGCTTTTCCTATTCTGTTTGTGCCGGTTGGACTCAACACTGCTTGTGCTGAGCTCTGGCAGCTGCTGACTTTAGTGACGACTGACACCACCCATCCCCGCCAACCTCATTTCATGCACAAAGTCATCTGGTGCTTTGTTTTTTTATGGGACACTTTCAATTGTAGTTTTCCTTCTCCTGTTCTCAGCAAAAGAAAAAGAACACAAGTGTGTTTGAGCAGAGAAAATGAAATGTGGGATGAACACTCCCCAAGGCTCTGAAATCCTTCCTTCGTGGAACTTTCTGCGGAGCTGTCCCCCTTCACTGGGTGGCCGGCAGCTCTCACCAGCCGCCAAGTCCCTTCCTGCGCCCGAGGGTTTCTCCTTAAATGCTGCTCTCACCTCCTGGTCTTTCCCTTCTCTGCTCCCTGTCTGAGGTCCCCAGCTCTCTGGACTATCATTAACTCCCTAACTCATTTCTCTCTCTTTTTCACACATACTTTGCCAGATTCATCTTTGGAAATTATACTTTTGCTCAAGCATTTCCAACAGCACCCCTGTCCCATCAAGTCCAGGTTGCTCTAGCCTGGGTGGTGCCAGGCTCACCTTAGAGCTCCGAAGTCCCCTTCTCTCATGACTGTGGTCCTCCTTAGGGAACTACAGGCTGAGAGTCCCTTCTCCAATGTGTTCAGGACCATGGTGTTTCAGTTCAAATGTTCAAATATTTGCACAGAATTTATCAGTCAAACATCCCCCATCAGAAAACTCCAAATCTTGGGGTCGGGGATTTAGATCAGTGGTTCCGTCACCTGCCCCACCCCACAAGCGCAAGGACCTGAGTTCGATCCCTGGTACCAAAAAAACCCGACAAAAACCCAAAAAACTCCAGATCCAAAATGCTTAAAAATCTGAAATCTTTTAAGTGTCACGTTGGTCATCAAAAAAGTTTGGATTTCAGATGCTCGACTGATAATTAAAGCTTCCCAGGCCTTTCCACAGGCAGGGAGTTACTGGTGCCTTGTGTTGCATCTGGGAGGATTCTGAACAGGCTAAATGTTCAATACCAGCTGTGGGCTTGTACTGAGTGACTCTACCCGAACGCCTGAGCCAGAATTGTTTCATGTGTGGGAAGGAGACCACTAAAAACAAATCGGACGTTAAGAACCCCTGGGTGCCATGGCAACCACCTGCCACTGCGCATGCTCCTGCTCTCTGGTCCCTAACTCCTCAGTGCCCCGTCCCGGCGGCTCACCCTGTTTTTTGGGTCTTCTTCCCATTCCTGTCCTGAGAAAATAAGTTCAACGGCAGGCTGGGAGATGAGAAATGGCAGTGGCACAACAAAACAAGGAGTGCTGCAGAAAGTGGTGTTTTGTTGAGGAGTAATATGTACTAGACTTTGGTACTGTACCTTTTGTGTGTCTAACTGCAAAAAAAAGTCCACCACAAACAACCACTTCCTGTAAGCAAGGAATGGTGGGACATGGCCGTAATTCCAGCATTCAAGGGGCTGAGTCAGGAGTATGATAGCTTGAGGCCAGCGAGACCTATGTACTGAGTTTAAAGCCAGTCTGGACTATATTTGCAGACCCTGTCTCAAACACCAAAAAATCAAAAATATTTTGTTTGTAGGAACATTTTAGTGACAGAATTTGAAAAAGATAAAACACTTTAAAAAGATGGGAGGAAATACACACACACAATGACTGAAGTTTATCCTTCTTCACAGCAGAGTAGTACTCCATTGTGTATAAATACATTTTCCTGTTGAAAGGATGTTTTGGGGCAGGGGTACCGGGGATCAAACTCGGGACCTTGTGCTTTCAAGGCAGGCACAGTGCCACTGCTACATCCTGGCCCTAAATACATTTTCCTTACCCATTCATCTGCTGATGGACACTGGGTCACTTCTAAGATTTAGCTGTTATGAACTGTGCTGCGATAGGAAAAAGGGAGACAGATCTTTTGCAAAAGGGAAGGGAACCAGGATATGGCGGGAGAGGGTAGGGAACAGGGGAGGGGATGAGAAAAGAACTAGGATGTGTTATGTACGTGGACCAACTCCCCACAAGGACTGCGATCATTATGTCCTAATAAAAAATGGGAAACAATAAAATATGGAAAAGGAGGAACACAGCTGAGGAGTGCAGGAAAGGAAAGGACTGTAAGGGCTGTTGCAAATGCTGTCTGTGCCCGGCCACCATTTCAGAAAGCCTGAGAAGGAAACCAGTTCACTGTGTCATCTTGCTGTAAAGAGAAAATCAGCAATTTTTCTACAGTATGCTCAACAGAGCAACCTGGAACCTTTCTTTTCCTTTTAAAGGGTTTCTCTGGCAAATCACTGAAAGCAAACTCCTGGACTGAATAGAATACAAAACTCTGTAAGCCATGCTCTAAAAAATAAATGCTGCTCATGCTGGCTTCGGCAGCTCATATGCTGCTCGATAAGAGGTTCTTAAGTGCTCTCTATCCCATCCCCTTTGCTGCTTTCAGATGGGAGGAACAAAAGACTCCAGCAGTCAAGACAGGCCTGTTCCTCCCATTCCTCCTCTCCTGATCACTCTGGCGTTCATTACAAGTCATGACGGCTCCCTTTTCTCCTGGATCCCCCCGCAGGCAAGGCTGAGCTGGGAGACGTCCAGGTTTCCTTACAGGACACAGAACTAAGAACCACAGAAAACCGAGGCACCCAACACTCCGCAGTTCCCAATTCAATTCCCTTGTTCTCACCCATCATCTTTCAGAAGTATTTGTTAATCATTTACATTAGGAATGGAATATTTTATTGCAGGTGGGGTGTCTTATGAAAAAAAGATTAGGATAAATCAAGAACTATACAGCAGCTAATAGAGAAAGGAATCAAAATGATCATGGCCTGGAAAATATAAAAACAACAGTCAGCTGGGCATGGCGATGAACACCTGTAATCCCAGTACTTGGGGGAGGCTGAGTTTGAGCCCAGCCTGGGCTACATAGTGAGTTCATGGTCAGCTTCAGCTACATAGCGAGACCCTGTCTAAAAAATCCAAAAAAAGTCTTCCCACCAAGACACCAGATGACCTGAGGCTGCTGGCATCCAGGTTAGAACGGCAGAAGAGGGCAGGAAAGTGAGCTCCTTTGCAAGGAAAAAATCCAGTGGTGATTCTGGGGGAGGTTTCTTCAATTCCTGCTGAGAAAGGTTGTCCTGGTGACCCAGGCAGAAATTTTCCATGAATTTCCACTGCTCGATGGTTCTATTCAGAAAGAGACCCTCAGGGTACTGTGATGTCTTTGGGTAAGAGAAAGCTGAAAAATGAATGACTGCAAATGGGAAGAATGACTCTGCACGGGTTCTAGCAAGGGAGGACACAGGCGTTCTGAAATGTACAGTCCAATGGAGGATTTGACTGTCGAAATTTGTATTTGCTCAAACATATTCCTATGTTATGTTCTAGTCTCTCGTGGATTCCCAAAATTGAGATATTTTAAAAGCATAATCAGAAATAACCTTCTTGCATACTATCAAACTAGTCCTGAAAAGTGGTATCATTATGCTAGCAGAGGCTTAATAAAGTCTTGAGACACAGAGAATTCCTAACAGCAATTCCAGAGACAGGAACAATATAAACTGCAAAGAAATGCTGGCCAGAGTGATTTCAGCCAACGCCAAGGAGGGTCCCAGCCAGACAGGCAGCTTCCTCTTGTGCCCAGAGACACATTGCCCCCCTTGGCTGTCACTGGTGAAGGGACGACGCTTAAGGTGGATCATGGCTGTTCTAAGAGTAGAGAACCAACACATTGAGCTGTACAATCCCTACAAATACATAGTTTATACACCCAAGTTAGGTTAGGGTCAAGAAAGTGAAGGATTTGGTTCAAATTTAGTATGAAAGAGGAAACAACACAATGAAGACCCTTCCCAGAGTTGCCCTTGAGTGCTGATGAAACCCAAAACTTCCTCCTGGTTCTTCTTTAGCAAACCCTTGGATGCATTTCCTGACTCATCCTCCTATGATGACGTTGTTGTACCTTGGGTTCAGCTGGTAGTGAGGGTGGAGCTCCCTTCTTGGAGAGCGAATTTATGTGTCCTCCCTACAGGCTACAAACTCAAAGTGCCTGCTGTCTGGTTACCTGAAAGTCAGCTAGAACATGCAGCAGTGGTAATCGTGTCAAATCAGACCCTGGAAAGCTGCATATCCCCAACACTGCTTTCAGTGACTTGTGCTTTCCAATCACCGTCTTGGCTGGCACTGACTCTCAGAGGTGGAAGGAAACGTCCTATTGTAATGACTGAGAAATTATGACTTGATAGGTCTGGGGTGGGGCATCTGGGTTTTTAATAAGCTTTCCAGGGAGTCACCACAGGCTGAAAATCCTTGTCCCTTTTTACTTGATGATGCAGTCGGCCAGCTCAGACCACTGTCACCTTACACAGTGGCCCTCTGGGAGAATCTCCCTCAGGCTTCATTCCTGGGCAGTTCTGATCTCAGCGACACCGGGACACTTGTAACTAGACTTGCTCGGAGCCAAACCTGAAGCTGCGTTGAACCACCGGGGAGGACCTGGGTGGGGTGGAGGACTCAGGGGCTGCATCCGGGCTTAATCCTGCTTCCCAGCCACAGAAGTGGCTCCTGTGCACCTCCGCAAGGTGCCGAGGGGCCGACGCGACACACGGTGTGGAATGCAAGAGCGGTGGCCTGTCCGACCCGGGGGCCGCTGTCAGGGCACGGTCCTCGCTGCCGGCGCGCGTGCGCCTCGCTCCTCCCCGCCCACTCGGACCCAGCGCCCACGGCCCGTGCAGGAGCGCGGCGCCTCAGCCCCGGGTGCACCCCGCGCTTTGTGAGCCAGGCCCGGCCGCGCCGCGCTCACCTGCAGGCGGTGGCTCTTGACCAGGTGCATGTTGAGCGCCGGGCTGTTGGGCAGGATCTTGCCGCAGCCGCGCACGGTGCACAGGATGTTGGTCCGCACGGCCCGCGACAGCTCACTCACCGACGGCTGGATCAGCTCCCGGGCCGGCGGCGCCGGGGCTGCGGGGTGCTGACGTGCCGCCGCGGGCCGTAGCCGGCTGCCCCTCAGCCGGGACCCCGGAGCCCCCCAAGGGCCCGAGGCGGCGGCGGCGGTTCCACTCGCGGCCGCTGGGACGGCCAGGGCGCCCGCCGCCAGAGCCGCGGGTTCCACCGCCGCCGCCTCCGAGGCCGCCATGGCTCCCGCACAGCGCCGGCCCGCACGCAGGCCCCGCCCCCGCAAGCCACTTCCGGCAGGGGGCGGGACCGCTGGGCTTATTAGCATCCGGCGCCGCGCGCCCCCTGCTGGCCGCGGAGAGTCCAAGCCAGCGGAAGCTGCGGGCTGCAGAAACTGGAGAACAGGTAAAGCGTGTTGGTCTGGTGGACCCATACTTTCCCGACCTTCTTGGAAACTTGGTCGCAGGCAACAGTTGGATGGAAGAAAAAGCAATTCGTTCAGAAGGTTTAACTCCCAAAGATTACATGCAACCCAAGGAGTCAACGGCAGGAGAGGCCATAACGTAAATTTTCCTTGTACCAGAGCCTCGGGGAGGTGCTCTCCGTTCAGTGTCTCATTTTGTCCTCAAAGTGTCGGTAGCGGGTATATATTGTAAAGTCTCCCCTCCCTGTACAGAAAAGGAAATTTAGGGTTGCAGAAATTAACTTGCCCTAGATCGAACTGTACAAGCGAAAGGATTGTTACAATTGATAGGGCCGATCCTTTTAGGGGGTCTATTATTTACCTGCTTGTATTTTCCCCCCAGGCCTGGGGATTGAACCCAGGGCTTTCACACTGAGCTACACCCCCAGCCCGTTTTTATTTTGAGATAGGATCTCACTAAGTCACCAAGGTTGGGCTTGGCATCGCAATTCTCCTGCCTCAGCCTCCCAAAGTGCTGGGATTACTGTGCTGCATGCACTATCACACCTGGCTGCCCGACTGTTTTAATTGCTGAAATTCCATTTTTGTTTGGGAAACAGTATAGTTTAGTGCATGGTCCCAAAACCTCGATGCCTAGAGACTCGGTCACCTAAACAGGCCTAGCTGGCTGAGGACTGAGTGCAATTGGAAACACACCCTGTCTGAAGGTGGCAGCTGCTGTGCATCTTTAGTATTGCTAGATTTTCTTGTGAAAACGTCCAACTTTTACTTATTAGCTGTATTAGTGTTCTATTGCTAATGAGTTATCACTAACTTAGTGTCTTGCCATAATAAATTTATCTTGCAGCTCTGCAGGTCTGAAGCCTGAAATGTCAGCTGGGCTGGTTCCTTCTGGAGGCTCTGGGAGAATCTGTCTACCTTTTCCAGCTTCGAGAGGCTGCCTGTATTCCTTGGTTGGTGGCCCTGTCTACCATCAAGATCAGTAGTGTGAGCTGAGTTTGTCCCATCAGATCACTTTTTTTTGTTTTGTTTTGTTTTGGTGGTACTGGGTATTAAACTCAGGGGCTCCCACATGCTAGACAAGTGTTCTACCAGTGAGCTTTAAAAATTATTTTAATTTTAACTTTGTTGACAGTGTCTTGTCCAGTTGCCTGGGCTGGTCTCAAATTTGTGATTTGGGCCAGAGATTTAGCTCAGTGGTTCTGCCCCCTGCCTCAAATTGGTGATTCTCCTGCCTCGACCTCCCTAGTGGCTAGAATTGGGACCCTGTGATCACACTGTGCTCATCGAGGTATTGCAGGGCAACTTCTCCCACCACCAAGACAACATATTCAGATTCCAGGGATTACCATGCAGACCTCTTTGAGAAGGAGGCATTATTTAGCCTGCTGTCTAGAGCGCAGGCTGTGGCGTCTGCCTGCCTGGTCATTACTCAAGTAAAATAAGATTGATCATGCTGCCTGTCTTATAATACTGTTATGAAGATAAGGTAATGCATATGGAATACAGCGGCACAGTGCTTGCCACATAGTAAGCACTCAGTAATCACAGGCCAGCCTTTCAATTTGTGGAGGCCTTGCTGAAGATGCAGTTCTTTTGAGTATAGAGGTCCTTGGCTGTTTACTGCTTCATCTGTTCTTCAGCTGCACCTGAAGGTGACCATAAAGTACATGATAGATAAGGGCTTGGGGAGCTTAGGTTCTCCCATTTTTCTAAGTGAGGGCCTCTGATGGGAGGGTCACCGGATGTGGCCCAAATGGTATCACTACAGGGTGTACACAGGACTTGTATTTTCTTATTCAGCTTCTAGATACACATTCCTGCCAAACACCAGGGAATTCTGTGAGGCCGCTGGAAATCATTCCAGGAACCTGCAGGGCCCCTGTGCAGATATCGTGTGCATGTTCAGGCACTGGGCAGAATGCCTACTGTGTACATGCACACAGACAGAGACGCCAGAAACCATGACTGCTGAAATGGAAGTCATTCTTAAGCCCTAACAGATTCAGTGCCCCACTGGGAGACAACTGAAGAATCTATGACATTTCTAAACTAGTGTAAGTCTAAAAACACATCTTTCATATAAGATGTCCTACCTATTGCAGGCTGATCAGACCCTCAGCTACCCTTTTAGGGGGAACAATGAGGAATAAAAGAAAGACAGAGACTATTTCAAGGTATAAAAGGGGAGACTGGGAGGCGACTTGCCTCTAGCAGAGACTCCAATAAAGCAACACAGTTGGCCTTTTATTAGCCAACAAGAAGTGCAGGGGGAGGGGTAGCATGTGTTTCGTGTAACCGGGACTACAGAGAATGGATGGATAAGGATTAAGTTAAGGAGCCAGATCTTCTCTACACCCAAATGCCTGTATAGTGACAACTGTCCTCAGCAGATGCTGTCTTGCCTCAAGAGTGTCACATGCCCCCAGTAGCCAGGCATGCAGCCTTCTCTATACTTCCGGTTCCCGAAACCGATCTGAGTTATGTAGCTGAGTCACCAACACAGTGTACAGACAGTATTACACTAGAGAGCATTATTTACCCCCCTTTTCTGTTATATATTCTGTATAATAGCACTCCTTTTGATTTTCATCAAAATCAACTGGTGTATCAGTTTTAAAATAGCTTTATCCATGACCACTGTTTTCCTCTCTGCTTTGGCCATTGGCAAAGTCCATGCTAGCTTTCTGATCTGCTAGCAAGTGGACAGGCACCTGTAGAAATGTAGACTCTTACATAGTAATCTTATCCCTAGCTTTATTCTGTTCTCTTCTGCACTCTTATCTGCCCAGCTTTCTTTACCTTTTAATTTTATAATTGTAACTTTTCTTTTCTTGGAGACAGAGTCTTGCTGTGTAGTCTAGGATGGTCTTGAACTCACTATATATTCCAGGCTGGCCTTGAACTTGTGGAGATCCTCCTGCCCTAGCCTCCCCAGTGCTGGGATTATAGGCATGCAGAACCATGCCTGGCTAACAATGTGGGGTTTGTTTTTTTTTGCTTGTTTTTTATTATATATACATATATATATATATATATATACACACACACACACACACACACACAGACATATATATGTATATAATTTTTTTAAACAATGTGTTTTTATAACTCAAAATCTTCTCTGGAACAAGACAGGGAACAGATTTTAAAATGTTATAAAAGAACATGCTATTTAGTGATAATCACTGAAGGATTTTCATCAAAAGAAAAAGTAACTGATTTACCAGTTTTTTAATACTGTATCTTTATTATTCACAAATCAGTGTAATGTCAGTTTGCATGTCACGTGTGATAAATTAGACTATAAAAAGTGTCATATTTACAGTGAAACCAGTGTTTTATGTAAGTGAATTCATCAGATATGCAACCTCCTATAGTGTCAACTCAGTGGACTCAACCCTACCCTCTGAACTGCCTGATACCTACAAGTTCTGAGTTGGGTATAGTTTCTTGGTGCTTCTTTCTGTGACCCAAAGCTTCACAGAAAATCCTCAGAAAACAGCAACAGGAACCAGACCTCCCAGGATCATGGAGAGGCAGGAGTGGGCAAAAGGCCACCAGATAAATACCCCCAGGCTCAGCCACTGTGCCAGACGCATGGCTTCAGAGCATCCAAGCACTTGGGCTCAGTCTGGAACCACACATATATCCTGTTGTGTTTCAATGCCCACACCTGCTCTACTGATCAGAAAGGAGCGGGGAGGAAACAGCCCTCAAAATTATATGGACGTTTCTGAATTTAATATCAAGGATCAGTTTCTGAAAAGCAAGTTTACAGACAGAAGCTCTCCAGCTAGCTGTGAGCTGGAATGCATGTGCCATATAATCAAGGAGCCACTGGGTTTATAAAACCACATACATCTTACTTATCTCTAATTTTAAAATAATTCATTGCCTTGTTGGGTATGCAGGTGAGCAATGGAGAAAGTGGAGCATCTGCAATACCTGAAATTTAAAACAAAAGAAATTAAAATAATGATGGGGCAAAGATTTATTAGGCATTTAAAAATGGCCAAGATTAGAAGGTGGACCAGGAGCCTTCCCCTCATTTAGTGCAGAGGCAAATATGCTAAATTGGGCACCATGGGGTAGCGGACTGGAGAGACAGGAAAGCTCAGAGGTTATTAATAAGCAACAGAGGGCCCAATGCAGTCTGCTGTTAACCTGTCTAGCTTGTAAAATAAGCTGACCACTCACCGGCTGGAGCTAAGGATTTCAGTGCTTCCAAAAGATGTGGGCTGGAGAACTTTATCAGGCACCGTAGGGGCTCTTCCCTCTTGGCCAAGATGCCCCCATATAAGTCACCTTTGAACTTCGTTTCAAGCTGTCAACAAATACATTTATAAATGACTAGTAAATGTTATCAGTCAGAAGAGTAGAAGATAATGAAATAAGATTTGACTAAATCTTTGCATAAGGAAATACAAGGCTCAGTAGAGATGGAGACCATCTAATTCGCTAACTGCAAACAGAGGGCAACCAGCACATTAAAGTACCCAGGTGCCAGCCTGCACAGTGCCTGACACACGGGGTATGCTGAGTGTCAATGCCGCCCCCAGGTGCCCTTTACAGTCTGCATTCTTGAAGGAAAGTTAGTGCTGTCTTCTGTAATCTGTCATTTCAGGATGACAATGCCATCTTTTGAGTCACCACTGCAGTTCTTTTTACTTTCTTACCAGGGAGGATTTAAAACACATTCAGGAGTAAGGAGTGAGGAGCAATGTGAATCCCAGGCGCACATCACCCGGCTGAGTCAGTGAACTGGTGGCCAGGCTAGATTTATCAGGCCAGGTTCCCAGGTCACCTTGTGACCCCCATCTCCCTTCCCCTCCTGCCCTCCCCACTGGGCTGTGCTGATGCAAATCCAAGATCCTGGGCATTCCATCTGCAAAGATTTCAGTGTGCACTTAAATGAGACCTGAAAGGACTCTCTCCTTAATGTAATCAAATATTGGAGGTCTGCCATTCCAGTAGGTCCTGGGCCCTTAAGATTCTGTTTCAATTGTTTTAATTTCAATTTTTATTTTTATTAGTACATGTTTGTGGTACATAATGATTATATTCATCTTGGGGAGTTGGTCTATGTACATGACATATATTAATTCTTTTTACTTCCCCATTCCCTCCCCTTCAAATTTTATTTTTAAACTTAAAATGATTCTTAAAATTTAGAGACAATGTGCCGAAATATTTGGGTGATGAGTAATGTCTGCAACTAATTCAAATGCTTTAGGATAAAGAGAACAAAACAAACTGTGGCAAAATTTAACAGTTGGTGAATTAAGCAAAGAAGAAACAGATGTTCACTGTAATAGTCTTGCCAATTTTCTAAAGGTGTGAATTTTTCAAAATAGAAGAGGTATGGAAAAATTAGTAGCATATATGAATAAATGTGCACCTAGATTCAAAATAGACCCTTTCTAAGAGGTATGCAAGGGAAGTGTTGCGAATCCAGTCTTCTGTATCCCAGACCGTCGGCAGAATCAGCACAGGGGCCGGGTACTGTCCTCTCCCGACCCAACACAGCTGGGACAGAACCAAGAATTTCCACTTCTTACACATTCCAAGTGATGCTGAGTTTGGCAGTCCCAGGACTGACTACACTGAGGTCTCCTGTCCTAGATTATGGGCTGTTTAAAGGAACTCGGTGAAAACCTGCTAGTAAGAGAATCCAATTTGAAAGGTGTCAATCAACTGTTCTCACTAGAAACTAATCAAACCCAACAGGCTTTGGGCCTGAGTGAGCAGATGAACAGCAGATTTTAAGTGTGTCCTGCAGAAGCAGCTGTAGGATGCCCAAATAGACATTTGTTTGGAGGATCTGGGGGTAGGGAGGTGTTATAAGTATGAACATGGGCTCAAGATTAGGGAGAGCATGATATAAACTTCCTGTCCTTCTAATGGGAAGGGGCTTGCATGAACACCCGGAGCTCCCTACCTGGCCTTCCTGGTGGGCAGCAGCACACTTCGGGGACAAGCTACGTCTGCAGTCTATCTACACTACTAGTTTTTCTCCATGCAACGCCAATGAGGCTATGTAAGACATTATGTGTCTCATTTAGTCATTCTGCTATTCAGTAAGCAGTTATGAGTATCTACTATGTGCCAAGTACGTTCTAGGTGTGGATGTGCTGGAAGGTATAAATTACAGTTTTCCAATTTTTTTCTCAAATATACAGATCACAGCCAGTTATTTATAACAGAATTAAGATGTCAGATGAAATGAAAAGGCAAATGCAGAATTTCCAAAGGTGTCCTTGGCTAGCAGGGAAACGTATAATAATAAGGAGGCCTATTTAATTTATAAATTCACTGTATGAAACTGAAGTGATAAATGAAAAAGGAACAGCTTCTTAGACTCATTTTCCACTTAAGGCTGTTGTTCTTTTTTAAAATCGTGGATAACTTGCAGGCAACATTTCCTGCAGCACCTACCTTGTACTGTGCAAACTCTAGCTGAGGTTGAGGGCAGACCCCAAATGTTTCTTGAGTTACTCTTCGGACCCTCTCTTTTTCTATGGTGTTTTCATGAATGATCCTTGAATCCACTACAGGTGGAAGATTTCGAATGAAAAAGCTGTTAGGAATATTACTTCATCCTTAAAGAATCCTTTGTCATTCTTAACCTTTCATATTATTTGTATAACTTAAAATAACGTTTGGGTTCCTCCCCTTGATTGTTAATAATTTATTATGTACAACAGGTAGAAATTACAGGCTTATAAACGACAAAAATTAACCCAAATTGTACCCCCCAGAGATGAACACTGTTAACATTTTAGTGTATTTCTGTCTGGCTCTTTTTACAGTAAGTAAAAAAAACATGCACATATACGTGTTTTTTAACACTAGGATTATAAAACACACACAGTTCTGCATCCTGCTTTCTTTAGTTAGCACGAAATTAACAGTGGTTCCTATGCCATTGTAAAGTTATAAAAGTACTGAGTGCACAACAGCTGTACCATTTCCTTTTATTGCTTAATTGCTGCTAGCAGATATGAAAGTTTTTATTTTTTGTAAATTTATAGGGTGCCCCACCACTTTTCTGAACTACCCGATCCACATTTGTCGTTTTATACTCTATTCTCTTGGGTTTTCTAGGGGGAGACACATGCCATCTGTGAGTTGCAAAATAGTCACAACTGTGACTCTCCTAGGACCAGCAGGTGCAGCGCACTGTGAAGCTGGGCTCCACACTTGGGCAACTGATTCCACTTGTGCCTTTGCCACTTCCTGGCTGTGTGACTGTACCTGGAGTTTCCAAGCCTCCCGGAAGCTCAGGTTCCAGTGAATAGCACTCATTCATGGGGCCACTGTGCAGACTGAGGGAATAATACATATACATATCTTAGGGCAGGACTGGCACAGGAAAAGCTCAACAACTGCCAGCTAGTTCTTCTATTGTCACTGCTACTGGATGCCATTCTAGTCAATTCTAAAGGAGACCTATGCTAGCGTGGCTGTCCTCCAACAGGTATTTAATTTTCAGTTTTTCTGAAAACAGTAAATAGTTTTGGATCAGAACCTTGGTACATATGTGTTTTACTCAGTAATAGAAATTAAGAGAGGGAATGATGCATTTCCACATTTCAGTTTTTTTGAGATAGGATCTTGCTATGTAGTTCTGGCTGGCCTTGTACTCGCAGCAATTTTCCCGCCTCAGCCTCCTGAGTGCTGGGATTATAGGCATGTTGCCACCATACCTGGCCCATATTTCAGTTTTATCTTAAAACATACATACTGTTTATATCTACTCCAAGGCTTCTTTCCTGAAGAGGTGTTGTAGAGTTGTGATTTTCAAAGGTCTAGGGGAAAAAGAAAGCCAAAAAAGTGAATGTTTTCCTAATCTTAACATCTTGAAGTGTAGATATGAACTGGTTTTAGTATGTGAAAGTATACTATTTTTTCTAACAAAAAGCTTTGAGACCATATTGCAACATCACTGAGCGTTGCTCCTAGGACAGTGGTGACAGAGACTGTGGGAGTCAGGAACATGGCTCTTTTGTTTGGGGATCTCAACTTTGCTATCATAAAAATGGATCTGGTGTAAGTGGGAGTGGAAAGGCTAGAAGAAGCAAAGGCAGCACCCGCGGTGTGGGGCTTCAGCTTTACCTTCACACCCTAAAGAACTCCGAGATGCCTTTTGGAAAAATAACTTTCCTACCATAAGTCTGAATCTCTTGACCCCTCCTCCCACCTCTCTCCATTGATCCCGCTGGTTTTTTTGAGACAGGGCCTCACTATGTAGTTCAGGTTGGCTTTGAACTCACTATGGACCCCAGGCTGGCCTCACACTTGTGGCGATCCTCCTCCGTCAGCCTCTCAAATGCTGGGATAACAGGCGTGCACCACCATACCTGGTCTGAACCCAATGTTTTTATAATTGTTTGAATGTGAATTTTCCAAAAATCCAACTGTCATATTATAGTAGAATAGCGGATACCAAGATAAGGGAAGATTGGGTGATAAAAGGTGCAGGGTCGGCTAGGGGAGAAAATCATTATCTAACTTCCTAATGTTATGACTTTTTCCTTAAAGAGCAACATGCAAGCCAGGGATGGTAGTGAACGCCTGTAATCCCAGCACGCAGGAGGCTCAGACAGGAGGATCCCTGTGAACTGGAAGCCAGCCTGGGCCACACAGTGAGACCGTCTCAAACTAACCAACCAGCCAACCAACCAGTCAACTAGCCAACCAAAACAAGTACAACCGGCAGAGAGCCATCACTTCTTTCTACTTAGGGTACACACGGAACAGTAAGTGTCCACCTACAGAGTCTGAACACATGAGTGGACATTGGCCATACAGAGGAGAAGACCTGAGCCTGTAAGGACAGATCTGTTTTTGTCATTAAAGGGGAACAATACATTCAAATTGTTTTAGGAAATCAGTTGTGAGACTTAGTAAACTCATGTTTTCGCCTCTTTAATTTCAACTCTTATGTCACTGGCTTGGGAAGAAATAATTATGTTTCTCTCTTGCAAAACAGAGTAATATATTCATCTTCCAAAGATAGTGTCAGGTTGCTCTACAGAGGAAATAAATTCTCCTTGGAATAAGTGATCTGGAAACCGGGATCTATAACACAGACTCCACCGACCAGAGAGTGGTATAAATACAATCATAAAGCGACAACAGAGCAACGGTAGGAGAGTTACTTTGTTTCACGTTAACTAGATGAAAGCTTCCTCCACATCTGAAGTGGGCTTCCCACCTGCTCAGTGGCTCCAACTCCTGTCTCCAACAGGTGTCAACCAAAAGGTGGTCGCTGATTGGCTCACCTGATTGAACTGTTTAAAAACGATGGCTTTGAGAGAGTCCAGGTGGCGGCTTCTCAGGTCCATCTGCACGATCTGGTGGTGTTTGCTGGCGACTGTCAGTGCCTTAGACATGAAAATCAGCATGGCTGTTAGGGTTACTGTTGGTTTGTTTCTCATCACGTTTGTCAAAGTAAAATATAGGAGCTGGTATCAGTGAGTAGTTTTCATTTAAAAGTGAAAAGAAGTCCAAAAAAATTTAATCTTTTTTTTCTTTTTTTTTTGCTTTTTTGAGACTGTAGCCCACTATGTAGCCCAGGGCCGCCTCAAACTTGTAGCGATTCTCCTGCCTCAGCCTCCTGAGTGCTTGGATTAGAGACATGTGCCACCACACCTGGCTTCAGAAAAAATTAATCTTATGTCCTGTTGCCCAGTTTAAAAAACAACAAAGTGGCCAATGGCATTAAGATTCTCATAAATGCTGTCATTTTTAGAAAAGTGACCCAGTTTACAGTTAGGCATTATAATAAATTCAGACTTGGGAATGAACAGTGAACATGGCACTCAGGCCGCAGCTGGCTGTTATCACTGAAAACCCTAAAAGGTTTGCCATCACTGCTCTGGAGTCACCATTTGAGAATACCAGTCCTCTAATACTACAACATACCACTGTGCCAAAATACAAACATGTAGGTGGTAGGCAGATATTGAAGACAAAAGTGTTTGTTAAATGCAATTTATAGAAGCTTCTTGGCTTCGGGGAAACAATTAGAAGACTGAAACAAAATTATTTGAATAAGGTACTTACATGGAGCCCAGAGGGTAGAGGCAAGTTTGCCTTCAGACATGTGAGAGAAATGAACATTATTAGCCTTTGGCTCAGTCACCCAGCTGTAAGGGGATGAATAAGCACTGTGTATCACAGAGGAAGAGACCCCGCTTGTAAAGAAGTGTTAAAACAAAAGTGAGTAGCAGCCTTTCTACCATAAGCAACACACCCCAGGATCCTCCAGCCTGCTCGGTCCGTGACAAGGACCAGGCTTTGCCAGACACAGGTGTGAAAGATATTGATGCAGCCATGAAGAGAGCTGTGCACCTTCAGGCAAGTAAAGCGGGAGCTCGGGAGCAGGGGGAGGAGCCACTGTAGTGGCAGCAGCAGTCACTGGGCCCATTCAGGGTGGCTCACTGTGGAGAAAGATGCTGGGAGCCCTGTAATACTGAAAGAGGCAGGTTCTGGACAAAGACTACACTGTTTTAAAGATGCTAAAGCAGCCTTCTTGTGTATAGAACTTGGGGACAGTGGTTACAAATGACAATAAAGGTCATAACAGGCAGATTATACAGTCATGGAAAAGCACTGTATGTAACCATATGAAGACATTCTGTTCAGTAAAAGAAAAGCAAATCACCAACCATATATATGTACTACCCTGGCTTTTGTGATAAAACTTGTTTTGAAAAGAAATATCAAACAAATAGGGGCTGAATAACAAAGGGAATAGGGGTGAGAAGTTTTTAGACTTTTTCAAGACTTCTGCATTGGTTGCATTTTTTTTTTTTTACATTAAGCATGTATTACTTTAGATTAAAGACAATTAAGGGCCGGGGATTTAGCTCAGTGGGTCTGTCTCCTGCCTTGCAAGCGCAAGGTCCTGGGTTTGATCCCTGGTACCAAAAACAAAACAAAACAAAAAGACAATTAAGAATAGTGCCAGGGCCGGGGATTTAGCTCAGTGGTTTCACTGCCTGCTGCGCAAGCACGAGGACTCGAGTTCAGTCTCTGGTACCAAAAAAAAAAAAAGAATAGTGCCAAACTAATACCACTTGTAGATAAGTGTAATCTCTGCTCTCTTGTTTTAGGAGAACAAAAATGAAGTGTGGTGTTCTCTATCAGATGCTTATGGAGCATTTGAACCCTGCAAGACTGGTGAGGTGAGGGGTGATACAGTGTGCTAGCTGAGAGTAACTTCTTGCATACCTGACCCAGAAGGGGTACAGTGCTCTTCAGCCTGGAGGAAGAAGCGAAGGCGAACGGAGTCTGGGAATGGTACACCACGTAAGTAGGCTGGTACTGGTTGGGCTTTTTGTGCTGAGTTCCCCAGGCGATGCGAATCCAGACTGCATTCTCCTGGGCATCCCTGAAGCTCACGGTCACCTAAGAGGATTTCAGTTTCTCTGTTGGATCTCATTGTGGCACCAACTGCAGGTACTTTCTAGGAGCAACAGATGCCACTCTGATGTCGCACGCAGATTGAGACCTGGCAGTTTTGTCTCCTACTTCTAATGGCAGTGTTTTGGGAATCTTTGGGAAAATATTTTTTGATGCTTTTGTAAACACATACTGATGCCTTGCAAAGTCTTTTGGAAGAAAAAACATCTTAAAAACTTATGACCAGATATGACATCAGTATTTTTCAGTAATTTTTTGGATTTGTCCTAAACAGTGTTCCTTTACCTATATAAGAGCTTATGAAGACAATTTAACAAATGAGACAGCAGTTAAAAAAACTCTACGGCTGGGGATTTAGCTCAGTGGCATCGCACCCCCCTTGGAAGCACAAGGTCCTGAGTTCGATCCCTGCTACAAAACAAAACAAAACAAAACAAAACAAAAAAACTCTTATTTTTTTTTTGGTACTGGAGATTGAACCCAGGGCTACTACTCCTGAGCTATATCCCCAGTCCTTTTTATTTTTTGAGATAGGGTCTTGCTAAGTTGCCCAGGCTAGCGAACAATTTGTGATTCTCCCTACATAGTTCAGACTGGCCTTGAACTCGCAGCAATCCTCCTGCCTCGGCCTCCCTAGTGCTTAGATTACAGGCACTCCTGGAGGCTGTAATTCTCTTGCTTTAGCCTCTCAAGTAGCTGGGATTACAATACATGCTACCATATGTGGCTAGAGATATGGTAGGTGTTTTATGAGGGCTGATTGGCATCTAGCAGATCTACCATGCTCTGTAAGCTTAATAGTAAGATTTTTTAAATTTAATTTTTAATAAATTTTATTGTATCCCATTCCTCCCCTCAAGCCTCCTCCCCTGTATAAAAGCTTTGTTTCCATTTTTTTCCTTCTAGTAATAGTAAGATTTCTATGTAGTAATCAGCTCAAAATATCTAATCCTAACAGTTTTATACATTAGTTCAGCTAAAGACCACTTAAAGGAATGTTATATGATCGGGATCCAAAAGTTCTACTTGGTTTGCATTTCATGGATAAATATAAGCCTTTCTAAACTTGGAAACATGATTGCCAGTCGATGTAGGATTTAATAGCCTAGCTCATCAGCTTGCCCCAGAGTCAACTCCCTCGTGGGGTTCTGACTCTGGAAAGGGGAAAGTGAGCCAGGTACACTTGGCCAGTTTGCTCTTTACTTCCTCCCTCTTCGATCTCATGCCAGGAAAATAAGGCTGTTAACTGTGGCTGCTGGTGCTAGCAAGCCACCACTCTTGTTGCTAGCTGCTTTGCCAAATCCCCTTGGTGCAGTAGACCAGGGATCCTCCGCAGCCCAGTGCATGGAGGTGCAGAGCTGTCTGGCTTCCCTAGTGAGCAGCCCGGAGCTTGCCTTCTTGGAGGCTCCCTGGGCTGCTACTGGCTGGAAAGAAAGAGGTCTCATTTTGCACAGTGTCCTCGCTGCCTGTTACAAAAGCAAAAATGCCTGGAAAGTCCTGGCGCTCCAGAGCTGCACCGACTAGTGGCTGAGCTGCTGCTCACACTTGGACTGTGAATCAGAGACTCACTGAAGTGAGGTGAGATTAGAAATTCAGTTCCCGGTCACACCAGCCATGTCCCCAGTGCTCGGTGGCCGCAGGGGGTCGTTCACTGGTGCACTGGACAGGGCCAACAGAGGCCGCTTCGCCACTGCAGAGCTCTGCTGGGAAAGAGCGGCCAGCTCTAAGTGGACAGCAGAGAGGAGAGGGAGGCTTTAGAGTTTTTATTTTTATTACCTTTATTTAGTTTTAGAACTTTTAGGGTTTGTCTTTGGCATGGAGTAGGAGAGTGTGGAATATGACTGAGTTTCTACATAGCAAGACCCTGTCTCAAAACCAAAAACCAAAAAAACTACCCCAAAACAGTGCCACATGTCAACTGCACAGATGTCATTAAAGTGAATTTCATGGAAATTTGAATAAATTTAATTCTTACATTTTTTAATGCTCGGTGAAGAATTTTCTTAAATAAGCTTTTGAATTCTTCCATGTCAAAAATATCAACATCTTCATCTGTCAAAAGGTAAAGAAAAGCAGAAATGAAGGGAGCAACAATGTCTTCAACAGACAGATCTGCAAAGAACTCTGAAGCCAGGCATCTTGTGCAACCTTGGAGCAAAGATGATGAGATCACACAACTGCTGCAGTGCCTCTGGCAGGGCACCACCAGGTACATGAACAGTCACCTCATGGGGAAAGAAGTGTGGGAGAACACGTTTCTGTGGATTTTTACATTGCCCCTAAATAAAACATACAAATGTTTGATTTAAAATGGAAAACTTTACCTGGTCCTTTACTCATATGAAAAACATTCCACATTTTCTGGTGCCGATGAACTTGTATATCTGAGAAAGGAAACACTTATGACTTAGTAGTCTGTCTTAGGGCCTGAAGTAATGTGCTTATACACCTGCATTTTTAATAACATATCACCTGCTTTCCTCCCCAGTGTCTGGCATACTACCCGACTTAATGAACATGTGAATGAATGCATGAGAACCGGAAATGTACACAGGTCCACCTTTAAGGTGGGTGGAATCCAATCCCTGAAAGTGAGACTAACTCAGAGGCAGGTACTGTAAATAGAGTCAGCTGTGTCACAGTTGAGGCAAAGTGCTAATAAAGGTGGGTGTGGGTGTACTTCTGGGTCACAGAGGGATTAATATCAGATGGTAACAGTCAACTAGTAGTCTACCAGGCCTTGTTCTGAGTACTTGACGTGCACTTTGATTTAATCCTCACCACAACCTATGTGATACCATCATTACTGCACAACTCTGTCAAATGGAAACACTGGGGGACAGAGATGCCCACCTCCCTCCCCCAGGGCTCATGGAGAGGCAGCGGTGGAGCCATGAAACCAACCTGGGAAACCCGGGGCTACCTAGGGTCTGTGTTCTTTCTTAGCCCCTGCACTATGCTGCCTGCTGAACAAAAACCAGACATTCATCTTGAAAAAACGCTACACTGTAATAACACATTTTCAGAAATATGTTTTCTAATTCTATAGTAATATAAAGTCCAACAGATACTTATTTTGTGCTTAGGATGTGCCCTTTAGTGTGCTAAGAGTTTTGCAGACATTGTCTCACTGAATCCTCCAAACACTCCTATTGTTTTCTCCTTTTAGTAAGGAGTCTGAGGGTTAGTGGAGATGCAGTTTGGCAAAGGGCACAAGACAGGTAAGGACAGAGCGGGATTTGATACCAGGTCTCCTGACTCTAGACTGCACTCTTACTGTGAAACTGATCGGTTAAGTGGAAATACAGACCACCCAGACTTACAAACGATGTCTAAAAGGGCCACATCGTTGATGCTTGCGTGGTTCTCCTGAAAGAAAGGATAAGCCTTTTAGGAAACATGGTGACAGGTTTGGTGCTAGTCCCTTTCGATCAGCACGTTTTAGGACTACTTAGGACAGACTTGAGCACTCTCTCAGAACTTTACTGAAAACCCATCTCCAACCTATGGTCTCCCGTTAAGCAACAAACAGAACTTCTGCTTCCTTTCTCAGTCAGGTAATCGCAACCCTTCTCCCTGAATTTAGTCGTCTTCTGTCTCTTTTAATATTTTAGTTTTAAAAAAAATCAACTTTATTGAAGTATACTTAACACACATTAAGCTGTGTGTCCTTAAAACTTGTAATTTGTAAGTTTTGACTGATGAACGTAGTAATACCTCCGTTTGTCACAATTTTGTTCACAATTTTGTAAACTCTGCATCTGGTACCAAACAGCACCATGGCCATCTTCCCCAGAGTTGTGGGACGAATTCCGTTCGTGAACCGAGCCGCCACCGTACACCCATGAAACCATCACCGGTCAAGGCAGTGAACAGCAGCCCCCCAAATTTTCTTGTGCCTCTTTCTTACTCCCCTTCCACTCTTCTCAGCCCCTACCTCCTCCCTCCCAGCCCTTGGCTGTGAAGCAGCCCCTGATCCACTTCCTGTCATGACAGATTTGTTTTCTAGGGTTTATATGAACGTGAACATAACTTTGTGTTCTTTTTTGACTGGCTTCTTCTATTCAGTGTGATTATTTTGATACTGGACCGTATTTTTCTTTTTAAACTGCACAGCAACATTTATTGTTTCAGCCTAGACTGAATGGTACTTTTGCATCTATAAATGCTACTCCCTCTTTTCTCCTAAGTAGTACTTTATTGTATGGATATATCACAAGTTGTTTATCTGTTTGCCTGCTGAAGGATATTTGGGTTGTTTCCCGTTTGAGGCTATTTATTATGAGTCATGTGGCTGAGCACATCACTGTGCCTGTCTCTGTGTGGACAGGTTTTCATTTCTCTCAAGTAAATGCTGAGGTGTGGGATGGCTGAGTCTATGGTAGACATACATTTTAACTTCTAAAGAAACTTCCAGTTTCTTTCTAAAGTGACTTCCAAAGTGGCTGTAGCATTCTGCATTCCCAAGAGCAGTGTGACAGTTCCACGGTAAAAGGTGACATTCTTCTTCTCCCTCCGCTCATGCTCCCTAGGCCAACCATTAACAGAGTGGTTAACATAGTTAATAGAACGGTCCGTGTCCTTCCAGACTGCCACACCAGGCTTCTTAGCCCTGGCACCACTGATATTTTGGTTTGTTAGTTTTCTGTTGTGGGCGGTGGTCCTGGATGTCAACGAGCGCCCCTGACTTCTACCCAGTAGAAATGAGTAGCACCCCCACTTCCTCAGTGTGACAACCAAAACGGTCTCTAGACCTTACCATCTGTCCTGGGAGACAAAATGATCCTGGTTGAGAACACTGGACATTGCACACATGGACATTAAATGCATTATACAGTTTCTTTCTTTTTTTTTTTTTTGAGGTAAGGTCTTGCTATGCAGTTCAGGCTGGCCTTGAACTCGCTGCAATTCTCCTGCCTCAGCCTCCCAAGTGCCAGGATTATAGGCGTGTGCCACTATACCTGCCTCAGTTTCTTTCAGTGTTGTACACAAGGAATATTTTGTTATGGATGAATCAGTCATCAACACATACCTGTTTTCAACTTGTTTATTTTTATTTTTTTCAGTACCAGGGATTGAACTCAGGACCTTGCGCTTGCGAGGCAGGCACAGCACCACTGAGCTAAATCCCCATCCCTCAACTCATTTATTTTTAAAACAATGATACAGTTAATTTACTTATGTATAAACATTACACAATTATATAAATATTTATAAATTTAATTTTAGTAATATATACCTTTTTATTCTAAATTATTTTTTTGGTGTAAATTTCAGAAACAGGTTTTTTTAGGTCAAAAAGTATTTTTATTTAAAAACAAATGAGGAAAGCCAGGGATAATGGGATACATAGTGATTTTCAGGCCAGCCCAGAACATAGGGAGACCTTGTTTCAAAAGAAAAATAAGGCACATGTCTGTAATCTCATCACTCAGGAGGCTGAGGCAGGAGGATTGCTGTGAGTTTGAGGTCAGTCTGGGGTACATTGTGAGTTCAAGGCCATCCTGAACTACCTAGTGAGAGCTCATTTTAAAAAAAAAAGAAAGAAAAACAACAAATGAGGGAAAGACACCAGAATACGAGAATTCTTTGTACTCGCAACTTTTGAGTCTGAAATTTAAAAATAACAAAAAGAAGATAAATAAATCAATATATATGAAAGAAAATTTCTTTCCTCACAACTTTGCCCACATATTTGAGTGTTATTATATTTGCATTTTTGTCACAGGGGTGGTTGAAAAACACTGTTCATTATTTTAACCTGTACTGATTTTTTTTTTCTCTCAAGGTATTTTTTTTCTTAATGATTTGTAAGCATTTCTTGTAGTTAAAAAAGCCAATTAACAGGCTGGGATTTAGCTCAGTGGTTCCGCTGCCTGCCTCACAAGTGTGAGGTCCTGAGTTCGATCCCTGGTACAAAAAAAAAAAGCACCAATTAATATTAGTATCTTCACTTTCCAAACAGTTAAGGAGCTGCCTTTCGATACCTTTTGGAAAGAAAACCCCAAGTGGGTTGCCTGCTGCTCGGGGCGACCTTTTCTGATGTTGCTGGAGACGGAGTCCAGCATTCTGCACATGGCAGCGGGGGTTCCCAGTGAGCGGTGTCCCCAGCTCTCAGACTCATCATTTTGTCACTGTTACCTCACATAGCAGAAGCAAGTTGTGAACCAAAGATTCCTTTCTCTGCTTGAAGTTTAGGCTCTGCAACTGGCTTTCAGACAAAAAACCCCAGGTTTCTAAGACTGTCATCATTGTAGCCATGGGGATTTTAAAGATGGTCCTCCTGATGAACTCGGCAAGAGTCTCGTCCATCTCTCTGGCACTGGAAAAGGAGCACAACAAAGAATTTTTTGTTTGTTTGTTTGTTTTTGGTACCGGGGACTGAACTCGGGTCTTTGTGCTTGCCCAGCAGGTGGCAAAACCACTGAGCTAAATCCTGGGCCCCACAACAAAGAATTTATCAGATGGAGAACCTTAACCTAACTGAATTTTTCAGAAGATTTTCAGCCAGCATTTAATTTGGAGTTCAGACTCCAAATTTAGCCACACTGTAAAGAGTGCTTCAGCACAAAGATTTTAATTATTTTCTTTTTAAGGCATATATTTCAATGTTTTAGAATTAAAAAAAAGTCCATGCTGCTAAGGTTTGGATAGGGTCTGTCTCCCGAGGGTTCATGTGCTGGGAGTTAGGTCTCTAAGGTCATGGTACTGAAAGCAGATGGATCTGTAAGAGGTGGGGGACCAGTAGAAGGTGAATAGGTCACTGAGAAGGGATTAACGCTCTTTCAAGGGACTGGGTCAGGTCACACTGGACCAGACTGGGTCCCTCCAGAATGGATTATAAAGTGGGTTCAGCTTCTCCTGTGTGTGTGCTTGTATCTCACACATGCTGTTGCCATGGAGCTCTTGTCACATGGCCCCACAGCCAAGCATCCCTCACTAGAGGCCACCACATGTGGCCACTCGATGTTGGACTTTTCAACATTCCAACTGTGCGTTAAACAAATCTTTTATCTGTTTTTCATGAGCATGCAGTTTCAGGTTTGTTATAGGAACACAAAATGGACTGAGACAAGTGCTACCTGTCCTTTCCTGACTAGAGTACTTTGATCTTCATTCATTCACTGATTCGTGTAACCCATGACTGAGCACCTGTATACCAGGTATTTCTGGGTTTTATGAATAGTTACATCTTTGTCCAAAAAGACAAAACTCCGAGAAACATCCATTCTAGTGAGGAGAGACAACATTAAAAAAAAAGTCACAAAGTAAGTTTGTAGAGAGAAATGTACTGAGAAAAATGGAATAATGTTAGGCAGGCTGGGAGTGATGTGGGAGTGGGAGGTAGAGAATTAGGCCTCAGAGAGGTGACATCTGAGGCCATCCTTGGAGGAGAGGGAGTGAGTCACGGAGGGGAGAGATTTCCAGGCAGAGGGAAGGGCAAGTGTAAAAGCCCCGAGGCCTGGGGTCTTCAAGGAACAGGGAACAGGCAGCCTCCAGTGAGGTGGGAATAGAGACTGTGAGGTCAGAGATCACTGCAGGGATTGTTGCTTTCACTCTGAAGGTGCTGGACAGAGGTGGGAAATGCTGTCACTCAGGATTTTTTCTCTTTTGGTACCGGGGATCGAACTAAGGACCTTGTGCTTTTGAGGCTGGTGGCAGCACCACTGAGCTAAATCCCCGGCCCCAGTGTCACTTAGGTTTTTGCCAAGATCCATCTGGCTACTCTACTAAGAATGTAGCCCTAGGAGGCAAGGGCACAAGCAGGGGACATAGGAGGAGATGAACAACAACTAATAATAATAACAATATATTGAAATGAAACTGATTTAAAACTTATGAATTGTTTCTTGAATTTGCCGTGTAATATTTTAGTTGACTGTAGGCAACTAAAATGAACTGAACTACAGAAAGTGAAAATGCAAATAAGGGAGAACTACTATAATCTCTTTATCCTTTAACACATCTCCAATTAATAAAGAACCACTACCTCATTTGTCCTGACCTAAGCCTGAAGAGTCTTTGTCTACAAGATCTTTTGTCCTGAGTTAGATCCCCAATATTGAAAACAAACAAACAAATGACTGCAGGGACATAATCAAGACCATGAAAATGAAGTTTGGTTTGTTGTTTTGTCCAGATACAAAAGCATCCTATCTTACAGTCAAGGCTAAAATTTTCATCATGATCTACAAGGTCCTGTATTGTCTGGCCCTTGCTTCCCGGTCCTTGGCTTTTTGAGCTCCAGGTACACTGGCTTTTTAGTTCCTATAATATAGAATGATCCCTGTGAGATGGACCATTGCACTTGCAATTGCCCCTGCTTAGAAGGTTCTTTCTGTACATATTCACATGGATTATTTCTTGGTGTAATTCAGGTGTGTGATTAGCTTCCTGTTGCTGACAAATACCTGAAATAAGTAACTTATTTTTTTTCTTAAATTCTTTTATTGGTACATTTTAGGTATACAATGCATTTACATTTATCATTGGGTGCTTGTACCTGTACATGATCTTGGTTCTTATTTTTTCCCCATTACCTGTGCACCCTTCACCCCCTCCACCCTTCCCTATTTACATAGACTTTGTTTCCATTTTTTTCTTTTCTCATAATTTTTCCTTTCCCTTCTTTCCTTTCTCCTTCCCCTCCCACCTGCCCTACCCCTTTGGACCTTTTCTTCCTATTTCAAATTATCAATTATTCGTTTTAATCCTTAGTTACACTTTCAGTTTCTCACACTAGAGAAACTCTTCGGTATTTACACACGTGTGTCCTATTTATTTCACTTAAGAGTATCGCCTCAATGTGCATCCATTTAGCTATAAACATCTCTAGTTTCTCATTTTTTATGACTGAGTAGTACTCCATTTTATAAAAAAAACACATCTTCTTTATCCAG